CATATCTAATGTGTTTTGACTCTTGTTCAAAATTTGTCTTTTTGGTTATAAAATATTTAACATTTTTAATTTTGTAACCATTTAATGCACACTCAATTTCTCTTAATTTTATTATAGAATTCATTCTGTCATTTTCCTTGTCATATCTATCACTCCGGGAAACATTAGTAAGAATTCTTTCTATGCTATGATCTCTTGGAATATACATTCAAAGTAACATCTTTACATAAATAAAAAATGGGCAAAGAATAACCAAGTTAAAAAAAAAAAAGAACAAGACAAAATGTCCCCTCTCACCATTCTTGTTCAATAGCAAACAAGAAGTCCTAGTTAGTGCAATAAGAAAAAAATAAAGCAAAGTAAATATACACAGATTGGAAAGAAAGAAATAAAACTTTGTTCACAAATGACAAGACTGTCTATGCTGAAAATCCTACAGAATGGACAAAGTGTCTTAGAATAAACAGCTATAGCAAGGTTATAGGATATAAGATAAATTTACAAAAGTAGATTGCTTTTCTGTATGTCAGTGATAAATAACTGGAATTCAAAATAAATTAATATAATATCATTTACAGTAGCACTAAAAAATGAATATTTAGATAAAAACCTAACAAAATATATACAGTATCTATATGAGGAAATCTTCAACACTGATGAAAGAAATCAAAGATGAAAAAATTAAATGAAGGACTATTCAACATCATGGAATAGGAGACTGTATTGCTCAGGTATCAAACATTCTCAACTTGATCTATAGATTCCACACAATCCCAACTAAATCCCCTCAAGGTATTTTGTTGATATTGATAAAGTGACTCTAAAGTTTATATGGAAAGGCAATGACCTGTAATAACCAATGCAACATTGAAGGATGAACTTGGAAGACTGATACTACCTGTCTTAAGACTTACTATAACGTTGCAGTAATCAAGACAACTTGGGATTGGCAGAGGCATAGAAACACAGATGTATGGAAAAGAGATCCTGGATGTAGACCTACACAAATACAGTCAGCTCATCTTTGACTAAGGTGAAAAGGCAATTCAATGGAGAAAGGATAATCGTTTCAACAAATGGTTCTGCTAGGTCAACTGGCTAGATGTCTAGTTAGTTTCCTAGACCTGCCATAACAAATTACTACAAACTTTGTGGTTTAAAATTATATATGTATTTTCTCATAGTTTCAGGGGCCAGAAATTCTAAGATGAGGTGTCAGCAGTGTTGGTTCCTTTAGAAAGCTCCAAAAGGAAAATCTGCTCCACGCCTTTCTCTTAGCTTCTACTGACTGCCAGTATTGTCATTCTTTAATTTGTAGATGCAGCATTCCAATTTCTGCCTCCGTCTTCACATGCTGTTCTATTCTGTGACTTTGTATGTCTTCTTCCCTTTCTATATGAAACTAGTCACTGGGGACCAACCAGTAGTGTGGTGGTTAAGGCAGCTGGATCCCACATTGGCCACGATGGCTCAAGTCCTGGGCCTGGTGGCTTGAAAATCACACCAGGTACGTGTGCAAGTGTGCCCAAAATCCCAAGAAGAGAATGGGGGAGAAGGGATTGTGATATGGCCATCCCTTTCCTTCTTTCTGTCCCTATCTCTTTCTCTCGGGTGAGCACACATACCCTATGGCAAAAAAAATCTTGGATTTTTTGAGAGATTTGCTATAGGGCATGTGTGCTCACTAGAGAGACACAGAGAAACAGGAAATGAGAAATCATCCACACACCCCTGCCCCCAGGGAGGAAATCACCATTCAGGGGGCATGGCTAGACTCAATCCCTTCTCTTCCATTTTCCTCTTGGGATTTTTGTGCATGCACGCACATGTACCTGGCATGAGTTTCGAGCCTCAGAGTCCAGGACTCAAACTGCAGTTGGCCATGTTGGAATCCAATGCCTTAATCACTATGCCATCTGCTGGCCTTAAAAAAATATTTAAAAATAAATAAATAAAAGAAACTAGTCATTGGATTTGGGGCAAACCCTAAATCCAGGATAATGTTATCCTGAAACCCTTACCTTATAGTAACATCTGCAGAGATCCTATTTCTAAATATAGTCACATTCTAAAGTTCTGGGTGGACATGAACTTTTAAGGGACACTATTCAACCCACAACAACATGCATATTAAAAATAAATCAAGTCATGGAACTACAATAACTTTCACCAAAATTAATTTATGATGGATTATAAACTTAAAGCACAAGATTATGACACTTCCAGATTAAATACTGAATAATATCTAGGTGACTTTGGGTTTAGTGATGTGTTATTTATATGCCTTCGGAAGCAAGAAAGCAATTTAGAGTGAGAGAAGATACTTGCTATATGTATTTATATAAGAAAGGACTTGTATCCTAACGTACATAAACTCCATAGCCAATGAGACAGAGACAGACAATTCAACAGAAAATTGAGCAAAATATTTGAATAGCCAAATCACAAAAGACAATGTCAAAATGGCCAAAAAACATATATAAGGTATTCAACTTAGTCACTGCAAAATGAAAATTAAAATAAAGATGGCATGTGCACCAGTATGACTAAAATGAAAGGTGGATAATACCAAATTTGGTGAAAATGTGCAGAAACCGCAACTTACATATACAACTAATGAGAATGTAAATTCTGTCAACCAGTTTGGGAAACCCTTTAACAGTATCTTAAAATTGTTATAGACACTAGAGACAAAGTGGAATGAGAGTGTAGGAGGGGAAGAACATAGGGAAGGAAATTCGGGGAAAAAAATAGAGAGGTAAAACATTTGTGGGATACAGATATGGTTTATTATCTGTTGATGAGGATGTGTATAGTATTCTCAACTGGGCTGGACTGAGGTATATATCATGTTGGGTAAAGTCTCTTTACGATCTACATGTATAGCGATAAAAAGTATAAATAATAATAATAAACTTAAAAAACTGAACTCCATGACCAGCAAATCTACTCCTAAGTATATACCTAGCTGAAATGCATTTACATGTTCTCCAAAAAATATGAACAAGGATGTTCATAGGAACACTATTTGTGATGGTTAAAGCCAAGAAATCACTGAGATGCAAATCAATAGTGGACCTAATAAATAAACTGTGGCACCACACAGTGGAATACTGACCAGCAATGAGAATTATATTTACTCTCAACAATATAAGTAAATTTCACCAATGTATCGTTGAATTGAAGAAACCAGAAAGAAATAAGTAGACACTAAATGAATATTTGTTAAATTCTTAATAGATCTAAGAAATGCATCAGCTTGTAATGATAGATAAACCCACAAGGGAAACAATTAGCAGATTTAAAAAATAAAAAAGTGAAACTCAAAATGAAAAGGCAAATATAATGTTGGAATATGTTCAGAGGAAATACTACAAATTTGCAAAGAGCTCAGTTGGTCTATGGTCTCCAGCATGAGCTACTTCAGCATACTTCAGAAGCAGAACTTTTTACCTTTTTTTCATTCATTCTTTGTTAAGTCCAAGTTTCAAATATGCTCAAATTACACTATTTGCCAGCTTCGTGGTTAATGGTTGCACACTTACGAGATTAGCACACAGACCCAAACATAATGTCTTATTCACCTAATCTGCAGAAGTGAATGGCCTACAGGCTGGCATTTACTTGCCATTGATTTCCAGCCAAACACAGAAAGGAGGAAAAGTGTTTACCTGTTCTTTGTATCCAAGTGGAAAACATGAGGAGCTGTAGTATGAGACAGGATGGAAAGCCCATGGAATTTGATGACAAATTACTAGCACTCAAAATGCAGTTTTCTAACCGAACTCCAGCACTGAAATGGAGAGCTACCCTGTTTCAAATTGCGCGCCTAAAATTTCTAGTTACTCATTAACTTCCTGGTTTCCTGTTTTTTTTTTTGGAGAGGTTTTTGCTATAGGGCACTTGAGCTCACCAGAAAGGCAGAGAGAGACAGAAAGCAAGAAATCACCCCCAGGGGGGGATGGCCACGCTGCAATCTCTTCTCCTCTATTTTCTCTGGATCTTGGGCATGCACTGACACGCACCCAGCGTTGAGTTTAAGCCACTCAGTCTGGGACTCGAACCACGGTCGGCTATGTGGGAGTCCAGTGACATAGCCATTACTCTAACTGCTGGTCCTCTCTGTTTCATCCTTGACTACTTTGTTTTCCCTGTAGAGCTAAGGTATTTGAAAACTTAAGACCATTTATTTTTGCAAAGTAAGTATATAAACAAGGAGTGAAGAAAGAACCTCAAAAATATATGTAATCTGGGGAACCAGCAGTTAGCGTAATGGCTATGTCGCTGGACTCCCACGTAGTCGACTGCGGTTCACATCCCGGACCCGGTGGCTTAAAACTCATGCCGGGCGCGTGTGCGTGCGTGCCCAAGATCCCGAGAGGAGAATGGAGGAGAAGGGATTGCGGCGTGACCATCCCCCCTGGGGGGTGATTTCTCGCTTTCTGTCTCTAATGTCTCTCTCTGTCTGTCTGGCGAGTGCACGCGCCCTATAGTGAAAATCTCTCCAAAAAAAAAAAAAATATATATATATGTAATCTGTATAATATTGTTAGGTAACTGAAATTATCTTCTTGAATACTATGTTTAGAAAAAGTTAGTATGTAATTATTTCTAAAAATTTACTCACATACAACGCAGGGTGAAACCTAGCATGCCTATGTGATTTCGTTCATGCCTATTCTCCTTTTTCCTAGACCAGCAACCTGCATTCTCCTATTTCAAAATCTATCATCCTATCTGATCCAGGAAATTCCTTCCCTCTAAAATTCTGGGAAATCTGTGGGCATTGGATGTCAGAAACCCAGTGTTTCAAAACTTTAACATATGTAATAAAATGTAAAGCTTTAAATTAACAGAGGTAATATAATTTCTTGAGTTTTTTTATTCACTTCTTATTTTTTACTTATGTTTTTTTTTTTTCCTTCAAAATAAAACAGACTTAAGGCTCCCATCAGCCAATCAAGTCAGGCGTTATGAGCCTGAAGCCAATGGGTATACACCAAGGGCGGGGCTTGGAGTTAGTAACTGTCAGTGAAGTCGCAGTTGGCTGCCTGGGGTGAGTGAAATAGTTACTTACACTTCTCACTTATATACCAGAAAATACACTTCTAGAGGCTCTAAGTGGTGAGCCCTCCTCTACTTTCTCTTTCCTGAAGTTGGCCTTTCCCACCCGTGCATTCTCTCTCAAAGCCCCCTCGTCCCCATCCCCACCCCCGAGTAACAAGTGCTCCCATAGCATTCCAGCTAGAGATTCAGCATTCCCACTTGGCGTTTCTACATTTGTTATGGCAGACAATCGGGGACGTCTCCCAGATCAACCAGCTTTTTCGGATTTCTGCCCTTCGGCCCCTGCTCCTCCTCCATTAAGCGTTTTATATCAACTCTTTTGGAACTGCTCACTGGCGGGCGTTCTTTTTGCCTTAAAGAAGCACTGAGAACAGTCAAGCCCCGGAGTTTTGCACAATGAAGCAATGAATCTGCCCAGGTGTGTGGAGCGGATCCTGAACCCCAACGGCTCCTTCTGCGCGAGGAGGCATTAGAAAGGCAAAAGGCCACCCATATTCGCAGTCAGTAGGTAAGACAGCTGGCTTGTGTGGGGGGAGAGTTCGCTGCGGACACGATCTGAACCCAGTTGCTTCTGCATAATAAACTGCCAACTGTGAGTCTGGCAGCTGGTGAAGATGACTGGGCTCCCACAGCGCCCTCTTCAGGATGCTTTTGTCACCTAGTTCCTGTACTATGTAGCCATTAAAGGAAGAAAAACTATTCCCAGTTTTAATCTGATTAAAAGGATGAAAAAAAAAAAATGTTTCTCAGAGGCAGGTTGAATTAGTGCGACTTCTACTACAGGAGGCAGAATTTCCCAAGGCTGGCTGATTACTGAGGACAATTCCACCTACTCTTTTTGGGAAAGCCGTTATTAATTACCTCAGTTATTCATTTCCCCCACAGAGAGAAAATGGAGCTATTAGCTAATTTATTTATAAATTAATGCAAAGAATCCATTTGGTAAACCAGTATTTTCTTTCTTTAAGGAGATGTTGACTCATAAACGTTTTCAAAGCTGTCAAAAGTCCATTTAAACTGGAGAAGAATTTTAATTACATTGAAAAACCTATTTATTTTCACAGCTACTTCTTTATTCATACCTTTAAAATATTAAATTAGAGTAATATTAACATTTACAAGGTAACTTTAGATGAACTCTCTTCTTAAGAAAAAACTCATTAGGAGGTTCTGAGGTACAAGTTGAGAAAACCAAACTATTTACCACATATTCACATCCGGATAGAGAAATAATATTGAACATGGCCACATATTATATATCCCTGAATTTCAAAGATAACCAGGGCTTGGGGTAATATTATTTACTGGAAGAAATGTTTGAGAATTCAATGTGCCAACATGTATTAACATTTTCAAATAAACCATTTTAGAAATGAGAAAAATGCTTACGGGCATATGTATCCCTACTTGTGGTTTGGAAAACAATAGATGCCTTAACTACAACCACGATGCAGAAAATAGCTTTCCTCTTTTGATGAAGCTGGTATGCTCTAGGATCCTCTGCCTTGGAATAAGAGTAGGCAAGTTAAGCGACACTGACAATATTTTCCAAATAGCTTCATGTTTGCTAAGAGCAAATATCACCAATCAAAATATCTTGTCAGACTGGCAGATGGCATGGTGGTTAAGGTGCCAGACTCCCATGTGGCCGATTGCAGTTCGAATCCCAGTCTGGGAGGTGTGCTTTCTCAGTCTCCCTCACTCTCTCTGTCTCTTGCTGGTCAAATGGAAGAACAATAATAATAAATAAAATTAAGTAAATCTTTAAAAATAATTTTTATCTATAATGGAAGAGACTTCCCCTAGAGCAGGTTTCTTTTTTTTTTCCTTTTTTTTTTTTTTTTGGAGAGGTTTTTGCTATAGGGCGTGTGCACTCACCAGACAGACAGAGAGAGACAGAGAGACAGAAAGCAGGAAATCACCCCCCAGGGGGGATGGCCACGCCACAATCCCTTCTCCTCCATTATCCTCTCGGGATCTTGGGCACGCATGCACACACGCCCGGCATGAGTTTTAAGCCACTGGGTCCGGGACGTGAACTGCGGTTGACTACATGGGAGTCCAGCGACATAGCCATTACACTAACTGCTGGTCCCTAGAGCAGGTTTCTAAACTCTGCTTGCTCATTAGAATCACTATGAAGTTTTTAAAATTCCCAATATCTAGGCTATACTCCTAGACCAATTAAATTAAACTCAGAGGGTGGAACCTGAGCAGGAGCATTTTCTAGAACTCTCTAAGTGATTTCATGCATAGCTAGGGCTGCGACGCTGTATCGTAAGAGGCATAGCTGCTCTGCTCTGCTCTATTGTATTACTAGCAAGATCTCCAGACCTACCTCTAACTCTTGCTATATAAAGTAGAGGTTAGAAACTTAGAAATCTTTGGACCAGCTGATGGTGTAATGGTTAAGTTGCTAGACTCCCACGTAATCTAATTGTGGTTCAAATCCCAGACCCAGTGGCTTAAAGCTCACACCGGGTGTATGTACATGAGCATGTATGCCCAAAGTCCCAAGAGGAGAATGGAGGAGAGGGGTTACAACAGGTCATCTCGAGGTGATTTCTCACTTTCTGTCTCTCTGGCAAGTGCATGTGCCCAAAAACAAAAACCTCTCTCTAAATAAATAAATAAAAATAAAAATAAATAAATTTTAAAAATGTAGAAATCCTTTGGGAAAGGGGGAAAAAAGAGAAAAAGAAAGAAAGCTCCTCAATCCAAGAGCTGGCTTGGCACTCATAGCCGGGAAACAGTGCTGTAAATTGGCCGTGTGTACACTAGGGCCTATTATTCTCTTGGAAATGGCATTTCCATGAAAGAGCAACACCAGAAAAAGTCTAAACCATGAAAAACAAAACAAAAACAAGGTCATTGTACAGCCTGTGCAGCACATCAAGCATCGTCTTCGGGTTAAAATGAATGACTGCTCTTCTGACCCATCACAGCTTTATTTGCTCTAGTCTGCGCTCCTGGTGGAGACTGAGATATGTAGTCACGGAACTGTCCTTTTGTTCTTTCTTTCTGACAACACCCAATCTAAAGTAAACCCTCACTTCCATAGACCCTGTACAAAATCACTCAAAGTCCAGATCCTATAATAGGTTCTTTCTAACATCCCTTTACTCATATGTCCCATGGACAAAATCACTCAAAGTCCAGATCCTATAATAAGTTCTAACATCCCTTTACTCATATGTCCCATGGCTCCCCATGAAGAATAATCTCCCTCCTACGACAAATAATAGACAAAACTTAGCCACTACAGAGGTGTAGTGGGGTAGTCTTTGGCTAAAGAGCATGAACCCCCTTTCTCACAATACCTGACAAACAGTTCTGGAGGAAACTGGCTTTAAAACGCCAAACTGAACAGGCTGACCTTGGATTAGGTGGATCACACTGGTTGTTTGCCTTGGCTACACATTCAAACCATCTGGCCAGCTCAGGCTGCAACCCACACGGAATTCAGTCAGCATCTATAGGGACAGGCCCTAGGCACCAGTATCTTATAGCAAGCTCCCCTCCTCCTGCACCCCAGGTGAGTCCCCAAGTAATAAATACAGGATGAAAAATAACACAGACTAGGAAAAAATATTAATACGTATTGAAAGCTGAGGCCAACAGAGTTGAAGTTAGTGTCCTAGAGTCTTTCAACCCACAAGCAAAAGCCGATCAGACCTTGCGTCCTGGTGGTTTCCCCACAGTCTGCACTTTTACCAGGAACTAAGATGGTATAACCTTCATTAATGGTGTCTATAAGGCTTTTTGATGCTGGTGATACATGAACAAATGGAAAACAGCATGCAGTTATAAAAGGATGAGCCCAACTATGTAAATAAGCCTAGAAGAGCCACTAGATAATATGACTGTAGGGGATTTTCCTGCTTTTGAAATGCTTGCTGACGAACTTATTCTAAGTTTTCACAATAAGCATGTCTTTATTTATTTAATTTTCTCTTTCAAAATATTGTGGGTTTTTTGGGGGGCGCAGCAAGTAGTGTAATGGTTAAGGTGCTGGATTCCCACATGGCCAACCATAGTTCAAGTCCCGGACCTGGTGGCCTGAAAATCCCAGGAGGAGAATGGGGGAGAGAGGATTGTGGTGTGGATATCTCCCTTGGGGAGATATTTCTCACCTTTCCTCTCTCTGCCTCTCTCTGTCTGCCTATGGTGAGCACGCACCTGTTCAGTTTGGTGTTTCAAAGCCAGTTTCCTCCAGCCTTATTGCAAAAAAAAAAAAAAAAAAAAAAAAAAAAAAGAAAAAAGAAAAGAATTTTTAAAGTATTGTTTTAATAATCATAAAAGAACATATATAAATATACATATCAGAAACTGAAGAAAAAGAAATTGCTGGATTGTAATAGGAAGTCTAACAACTAATTGGCTTTAGCAAGGCAGCCAGATGAGGTGCCAGGAGCAGACACTAGAAAATATTAAGCTACTATTATGAGAAAGAGAATCATAAGAATTTCCTTCAGGAAGCTTATGACCTCTGGTGTAGAATTTTCATTTCCCTGTGAAGCAGGTGGTGTTACCTGACTGCAGCTCTTTTCAATTACTTCAAACCTTTATTAAGGCCCTTGTTCCTCTTCAAAGAACTAACAATGACACAGGCTATGTGACATTTCCCTTAAGTCTTTTTGGTTTCAATAAGTTCCTTACATTCTTTTTTTTAAATTTTATTTTAAATTGATTTATTTTACAGTCATTCACTGTACCTCACAGTATACACAATGAGATTTCCCATCCAGTATACACTGTATATTGGCTTAATCAAGGATATCACCATACATGTTATCATCAACAAATGATTTTCCATTTCTTGTGCCTTGTATATTTTGCCTCTCCCTCCCTTGATTCCCTACTTCTCACCCTCTGCCATGTCCCACTCTCCTCCCACAGTCAAGAAAGCCTAGCTTGTCAGTGTCTCGGATGAGATAAAAGAAAACTCTAAGCAGATATCATCATGATCTATTCATTTCTGTCTGGATAAAACAACGAGAGAGATCAGAATATTCTTCTTCCATTGTCCATCCCATTTGGAACAGCTATCAGTACCTGCTTCCAAAGTCTCAGAGAAGCTGAGGGCAAATCCTCAGTTGCCCGCCCCCAGAAGTAAGTAGTCTGCACCAGCTGTGGACTGGCGAACGGTTGAAGAGTCCTCCTTTCAGATGTTAGACAATGCAGAGTGCACCACGACCGAGTACTGCCTGGCCTTGTCAGTGAACACAAGGTGACACTGGCTAGTCTCTATCACTTGGGGCTCTGCCTTCTCACTTCATTTAAGTTGAAAACATCATGAGAGGGATAGCATCTCTATACTTCTGGCAGAACCTAAGATACCAGTAGAAATAATTACAGAAGACATATGGGACTTCTTTTCTTTTTTAGAAAACTATTAGAAGGCCACCAAGAGGGCAAACCTTCTATCTCTTTGATCCTATCTGAATTTTGCAGAGACACAGGATCAGATTCGGACAGACCGTGAGAAACAGCAGGATGAGCTACGATAATGACACCTTTAATTTGATCTTTCAACGTGAAGTGTCTAACACATGGCTGGGCTTTATCAGGAATGTGTTTTTGAGTTTTCCTGATGATCTCCCTGAAATCATCCTAATATTGTCTTTGATCTACAGCATTGGAGGTAAGCATCTCTCACTCTTTGAGTTTACCCTAATGATAGCCCTTATATATTCTACTATCTAGAATTAAGGAAAGTAATACTACTAGAAAATGAGAATGTTGTTTTTAAATTCATACTTTTTTAAACATTGTTTTATTGAATTTTATTCATTGTCATTATTTTATTTATTTACTTTTATTTTATTTTATTTTATTGAAGTTGACCAGGTAGAGACAGTGAGAGAAGAAAATTAAGAAAGCAAGCTGCCAAGCTCAGGACTCGAACCATAGTCAGCCATGTGGGAGTTCAGCTGCCTTAAATTCATACTTGTATATCAATGTTTTCAATCAAATGAACCTGACAATAATCTGCTCCTGCAAAGAGACATATAGAATCGCATTTGCACATTCTTCACTTCTGTTGTGTTCCGTGTTCAAGAATTACTTGCTAAACCAAGGTTACATTGAAGTTACTGGGATAACTGATGCAAATAAACAGAAAAATCAAGGGTCGAGGCAATGTATGCCTTGGTTTTTGTCCAAATGATAAGCTATATCTCACTGTGACGAGAAGAAAAGAGCATTGTATACATCAAAAGAAAATGTTTTTCCTCTTTCAATTTCTTGGACCTGATTATAGATAGTATTACAAAGAAACAGAAAGAAATTAAATAGAAGCATATGCCCTTTTAGTTATTACAGTTTGATAGCAATGCTTACCTAACCAAGTTATATATTATCCAGGTCTTTCCCCATATTTAATAAGTAACTAGTAATAAGTAACAAATTGTTCTTGCTGGGCAAATTAGTATAGCTATATGTTGTTCCTCAACCAGATGTTTTTGTTAGTTATTCACCTTTTCATTGCAGGATTGCTAAAAAAAAAATAACCCCCCCCCCAAAAAAAACCCAACCTACTCTAATTTATAGTGTATATAGACACTACTAGGCATATTCCAGTAGTAAGCCAAGAACCAATGATTGCTAGCAAATTTTACTAAAGATTCTGAGGGAATGATATATAGCAAAGGAGAGGTAAGATCAAAACCTGGTAGATAACCTTGGCTCTGCTTCTGTGTGTGGGAGCTTCACAGGTTCAGGAAAGTGGGAAACGAGTAGTGAAACAGTATTTGATTGCCCTTGGGATTATCGTATCACAAGAGAGTTCTTTAGATTGGCTTCCAGTAATGACATTTCTTTTTGCAGCATATTTGAACCGGCTCTTAAAAGACTTTCCAGTTCCTCTCCCTGTGATATTATTCTTACTTGGAAGCAGTTTTGAAATACTAAGTTTTACATCTTATGAGGTGTGTATAATAAATGAATTGCACTGTATCTAAGAATCATGTAAATGCAAAGAGGGCTGAGGGAAATTTGCAAAAAATGCTTACCCCCTCACTTTTCTGACAGTCGATAGATGCTTGTGATTTGGCTAGTATCAGACCAGACTCACAGAAGTGAGAACCAGGCCTGAAAAAAGCAGAGATCTTGCTAAACACAGTCAAAACAGAGCCTCAGTCTGAAACTCTGCAGGCAGTTCAAAATGAATACACATGGAACTTTTGAGAGTGTGGGTGGCTGAGCACTTAAGCGGAATTCAAAAGCCTAGACAAGAAATTGTCAAAAGAGATTGAGGCTCAGGCAGATCTCATGTTCTCTGTATAGGGCTGAAGGAAGAGGATTCTGCTAGTGAAGCTACCTATTGCCTCAGGTGAGAGTGCTTAATAGGGCTTCCATTAAGGTAGAGGCTACTGGGCCTGGGTAGATTATATCAAGAAACATGGGAACCAGCAGTTACCCTAATGACTATGTCGCTGGACTCCCACGTAGTCCATCATGGTTCAAGTCCCGGACCCGGTGGCTTAAAACTCGCGCCGGGCGCGTGTGCGTGCATGCCCAAAATCCCAAGAAGAGAAAGGAGGAGAAGGGATTGCAGTGTGGCCATCCCCCCTGTGGGTGATTTCTCACTTTCTGTCTCTTTGTCTCTCTCTGTCTGGCGAGCTCATGCGCCCTATAGCCAAAAACTCTCCAAAAAAAAGAAGAAAAAAAAGAAAGAAAGAAAGAAAGAAACATGGGCCAGCTTCATGGCTTAGTAGTTAAAGCAGCTAGATCTTAATTGGCTGGCTGATTCAATCCTGGTCCCAGTGGCTTGAAAAACAGGAGTATATGTGTGCCCCAAATCCTGACACAATGGAGAAGTGGCACATACATCTATGAATTACAGCTAATTATGTTTTATTTCTGGAATTCAACATGAATGCTTTACTTTCTTATAGATTTTGTGCACAGTAATTCACATACCTAAAATCTCCTTCTTCCTCTCGTATGCCTGAAAACACTATATATTTTCTATGCCTGAAAATACACTATATATATTTTTGGTAAACATGTCAATGTGCTTTCCATATTAGCTCTTTAAAAAAATAAAATGAGTGAGACCAGCATGTAGCATAGTGGTTCAGGCACTGGGCCAAGCATTCCAGTGCAGTTCACGTCCTGGACCCAGCAGGTTGAAACTCACACCAGATGCATGTATATGCATGCCCGAAGTCCCGAGAGGAAAACTGAAGAGAAGGGATTTTGGCATGGCCATACCCCCACCCCACCCCGGAGGAAGTGATTTTTCACTCTCTGTCTCTCTGTCTCTCTGGTGAGTGCATGCACCCAATAGCAAAAATCTCTCAAAAAATAAAAAATGAATAAAATGAGCATAGAGATATATATTAAGTTTGCTCTGCGATTGGTACTAATCTGCTGAAAAATTATAAAAATACAAGAGTAAAGACTTTAGCATTTATTACATGGTGATGATGTGTCTTTTAAAAAGTATCTCACTCCCTTGCTAGAGATAGGAATGCACGGTATGTGTTCTAGTAGATGTATAAATAAGAAAATAAAAAACTTTATATTATTAGGTCCAAAAATACTCAGATGCCATACAATGGATGAATCCAGACTTATTTTGGAGTATATTTATACCAGTAATTATATTTTATGCTGCATTTGACATGGATGTGTACATGCTCCAAAAGTTACTGTGGCAAGTAAGTATTCTTTTTAGTAATACCATTCACTCCTAGAGCACATATTACCTATGTTCAGATTTTTAAAACATCTCATTCCAAAATAGAATACAAAGAGCACACAGGAAAATACAGGGCATGGGAGAGTGAGTCCAGCTTTATTTTTCAGTGCATGAACTGTATCTCAGCAATTGCCTAGCATGTTCAGTAGGACCCAGGGAAAAATCATGGAAGAAAAGATTCTAAAAACCTAACTGGCAGAATTTCCTACCAGTTAAAATTTTAAATCTGAGGGACCAGCAGATGGCATAATGGCTACACCACTGGTCTCCCATGTAGCTGACCATGGTTTGAGTCCTGGACCCGGTGGCTTCAACTCAGCCGGGCACGTGTGCGTGTGTGCCCCAAATCCTGAGAGGAGAATGGAGAAAAAGGGATTATGGCATGTTCATCCCCTGGGATGGGAATTCTCACTTCCCTTCTGTTCCTGCCTCTCTCTAGCAAGTGCATGTACCCTAAGGGAAAAACCTTTAAAAAATGGTGGGGGGGAAATCTACTCTGAAATATTTAGCTCCATTAAAATAAAATCTCTAAGAAAAATTATATTTTAAATATTCATATTGTAAAGCTTCCTATACCCATATGTAAAAGAAAAAAAGCAAAGAAGAAAACTCACAGAAGCACCTATAAACCTGTCACAAACTATAGTAATATTTTGATCATGTGAGATTTGGAGTACATGAGGGACAAACTTCAAAAAGTTTGTTTAGGGAACCAGCAGTTAGCGTAATGGCTATGTCGCTGGACTCCCACGTAGTCGACCACGGTTCGCGTCCTGGACCCGGTGGCTTAAAACTCACGCCAGGCGCGTGTGCATGCGTGCCCAAGATCCCAAGAGGAGAATGGAGGAGAAGGGATTGCGGCGTGACCATCCCCCCTGAGGGGTGATTTCTCGCTTTCTGTCTCTAATGTTTCTCTCTGTCTGTCTGGCGAGCGCACGCGCCCTATAGTGAAAATCTCTCGGAAAAAAAAAAAAGTTTGTTTAAAAACTGGAAGTTTATTTTGGTACAGAAAAGTTTGAAACGAATGCATAATTTTTTCGTAATATGCCTTTTCCCCAAACTTTGTGAAGATCTCCTGTATCCTAAAAAGGTCATGAGAAAAAATATTCCAGATCTTAAGTAAGATGTATATTTCTTTCAGTTATCATAACAATTTTTTAAATATACAGCCATTACCTAAACTGCATCATACATTATAAGTCAAATCCAGACATATGGAGTTCAGACAAATTACAAAAAGATGAAATTGAAAAACAAAAACAAAAACCCAGAGCGATAAAAGAGGTCCAAGTTGTCTCAGATGACCTCTGCTAAGACATGTCCCGCATCTCTGTTCAAGTGGGAGTCATAGGTGCAGGGGGAGCTGGGTGAATCCACTCAGGTGTCTGTGGGTGGTTACTCTTCGTACTGGTTGATTCTACATCGCCAATAATGTGAATTTTCTGCTTTTTAAAATAGAATTTGAAAGCAATCTGATTTTTCTATTTGTGATTTTTTTTCCCCCTCAGATACTTTTGACTTCAGTTCCTGGATTTTTGGTTAATTATATCTTAATTCTTTGGTATCTGGCATCTGTCAATAAATTTCAATTACAACTTGTCCCGCGGTTATTATTTTCAGCTATTCTTGTGAGTTCAGATCCCATGCTGACTTCAGCTGCTATCAAAGATCTTGGTAAATATATTTTTCTCTCCTTATATTTAAAATCTCATACTTAAGTTGTCTCGCTTTTGTGATCTTTTGTTCATCAGAGCTTTTCACTACATGAAGTGGGATAAGGAGGGATTATGGCTTAAAGACAGAACAGAGAACTCATCTCAAAGCAATGCTTGGCACAGAAGGAAATGCCAATGAGGTGTTTATTTAATATCCAAAAAAGCATGATATCCAATTATGGAAGAGGGCAGAGGATTATTTAGAATCCTCGACTTCATACATATTTCTTCCCTTAAGCCAACAGAACAGTTGTGTGGCATTACACTATTATGCGTACATTGCTATAACATTTCTGTTGTCCAATATTTTTTTTTCCTTTGGAAACTGTGCCACTTTTAAATAAAATTTTGCCTTTAGAATGATTGTCACTATTAACACCAAAATCATAAAAAGTCAAAAACAATAAAAGAACTGATTATATAGTACTTTCTGTGCAAGCCGTTGTAAGAGAAATAAATCTATACTTAAAAATAAAATATCAAATCAGTTTAACCCAGAACATTGAAATAATCCAAGCGCGCCATACAAGAAAAACAATAGACTAATTTTCCCCTCAGATGATTTTTTTTTTCTTTTAGATTTTTGCTATGGGCATGTGTGCTTCCTGGAGAGAGACAGAGAGAGAAAGTGAGAAATCACCCCCCCATGGGGGATGACCATGCCCACCGCAATCCCTTCTCCTTCATTAACCTCTCAGAATTTGGGGCATGCATGCACACACATCCAATGTGACTTTCAAGCTGACTATCAAGACTCCAACTGTGCGGCTGGACATGTGGGATCCAACTGCCTTAACCTCCACGCCACCTGTTGCCTCCCTTTCAGATGACTTTATAACATTTTTATTTAATTTAATTTACTGTGGGATTTTTTTTTTTTGGAGAGGTTTTTGCTATACGGTGCGTGCGCTCGCCAGAAAGAGAGAGAGAGAGAGACAGAAAGCGAGAAATCACTCCTCCAGTGGGGATGGCCACGCCACAATCCTTCTCCTCCATTCTCCTCTCAGGATCTTGGGCACGCACGCACACACGCCTGGCATGAGTTTAAGCCATCAGGTCCAGGACTTGAACCACGGTCAACTACATGGGAGTCTAGCGACATCATCATTATGCCAACTGCTGGACCCAGATGACTTTTAATGAGAATTAGAGAATTTTGTTTCAAACAGAATAATCAAGTGACACATCCATGTATACTCATGCATACACCCACACAGGCATTTTTTAATTCCCTTCCAATGTTTTTTTGGAAAAATCACTGCATATGTTCAAAGTATACGCGTTGCTATGCAGCACATTTAATGGCAGGGGGAAGAACAACTGAGAGATACCTAAACTTAGGCTAGTATCATAAATAGAGGGAAATTAGGGTAGCAGTAGGTAACATTAGGGTGTCTTCCACTCACTTCGAATACTATTGGAAGAAATGTACAGGAATGTCAGGTTATTTCTAACTCTAGAAGATTATCTCCATGCTTATTAGATGACACATTATAAAGCCTTCGTCTATGAATTTACTTTATCCCTCAATCATAATTTTCTGTCTTGCCATATAGAGTTTTCTTCTGTGCTTTAAAACAAAGAATGAGAGCTCTAGTTTATTATCTCACTTACATAAACAATAAAATAACCGATTATATAGTGTTTTCTGTGTAAGCTATTGTAAGAGAAATAAATCTACATTTAAAAGTAAAATACCAAGTCAGTTTAACCCAGAAAATTGAAATAATTCAAGAGCTTCATACAAGGAAAACAATAGCCTAATTTTCCACAGTTAATTAACAATAATGGGCCATAGTTAATTAGGTGCCTAATTATTATGGCCTGGATTTAACTTGTAATTGCTATATAATTAAGTTTCCTTGAAGGGAGTTTTCTTTTGTTTTGTTTTTTTTTTTTTTTTTTTAAGAGGTTTTTTTTTTAGGGTGCATGCGCTCGCCAGAGTTTTCTGTGTAAGCTATTGTAAGAGAAATAAATCTACATTTAAAAGTAAAATACCAAGTCAGTTTAACCCAGAAAATTGAAATAATTCAAGAGCTTCATACAAGGAAAACAATAGCCTAATTTTCCACAGTTAATTAACAATAATGGGCCATAGTTAATTAGGTGCCTAATTATTATGGCCTGGATTTAACTTGTAATTGCTATATAATTAAGTTTCCTTGAAGGGAGTTTTCTTTTGTTTTGTTTTTTGTTTTTTTTTTTTGAAGAGGTTTTTGTTATAGGGTGCATGCGCTCGCCAGACAGACAGAGAGAGACAGAGAGACAGAAAGCGAGAAATCACCCCCCAGGGGGGATGGTCACGCCGCAATTCCTTCTCCTCCATTCTCCTCTCGGGATCTTGGGCACACACGCACACGTGCCCAGCGTGAGTTTTAAGCCACCGGGTCCAGGACGCGAACTGCGGTCGACTACGTGGGAGTCCAGCGACATAGTCATTACACTAACTGCTGGTTCCCAAGGGAGTTCTCAAACATGGCTAACGTTTATGTATGCGGGGAAATGATAAGATATAAATCCATAGCCACGAATGTCCATCTACTTGCTAATACACCTGATGAGTTTTTTCTTACTTTATGAAACATCATCTCTCTCCCAACACACACAGGTCTTTCTAGAAGCCTCATCAATTTAATTAATGGAGAAAGTCTGATGACCTCAGTTATGTCACTGATTTTATATGACAGTGTGATGGATATTTACTCTAGAAGACAAAGTAAGATGAGTCAAAGCATAGGTAAGGACTTACATTTTTCTGAATTCCTTCTGAAAGCTGACATGGTTTTGTAATGTCTTACCGTAAGTTACGCTTGTAAAAGAAATACAATAGTGAGCATTGGTATAGTTATTTACCCTTTACTAAGCACTGCCACATGTTCCTTGTCTAATATTAGGGCTTTGTCTAATCTCAGGGGTTTGTTGTGAGGCTGGGTTGGGACTGAGGATGAGGATGCATATGGGAGCAGGGTTCTTCTACAGGTGTGGGCTGATGTAGATTAGTAGACAATGCATGAGAGGTGTCGCTTTGTATGTGTTGAAGATGAGCTTAGAAAATAAGCCAGGTAGTACATCCACTGGGACTGACAGGAGGCAGCTTCCCTTCCCTTTGTCCTGGGACTACCTCTTCTGCAGGCTGCATAGAAAGCTGTCACCCCAAGACAGAAGTGTCAGTTATATGACCACCTACAGAGCAGAGAACAGCAGTGGGAATCACAAGGTCTCCATGAGCTCAGTCATTTACCACAGACAGCCCTGAACCAGAAATATTTTCTTTCTTTACCATGTATGTATGTATAAAGAAATGATATGTTTACATTTTAATGAATTATTATATAGAACCAGCAGGCAGCGTAGAGGACAAGCTGGACCCCCACATGGCCAATCACGGTTTGGGTCTCAGACCTGGTGGCTTGAAACCCACACTAGGCACATGTGCATGTGCACCCACCTAAAATCCCAGTAGGAGAATGGAGAAGAAAGGATTGTGGGGTTGGAGGGTTGTCACTTTTCCCTCTTTCCATCTCTCTTTGGTGAATGCACATGCCCTGTGGCAAAAACCTTAAAAAATATACTGAAGTATACAGCTGTACAATTATCACTCAAGACCTGTAGTGTTACCAGCACTCCTAGAAACATCTTCTGTTCTCCCTGATCAAAACTCCATTTTCTTCCTCCTAGAAAAGTTCTCAATGCATATTATCTGAATCCTTGGGTAGTGAAGGAAGAAGTTCACAGGATCTCTTCAAATTGTCCATGAACTAAAAATATTTCCATGATAATACTAAGAAGTCATTTATCCTTTTAAAAATTATGTTAGCATTTGCACTGATTTTGGAAAAGCAACTATTAACAATCTTCTTGAAAAATTGGTGACATAGACCATTCCACTTGCCAAATGTCTTCTTTGTTCTTTGTTCGTTCTAAGACCTTCTGTAGCTTTGTCTTATTCCACCGCCAACCCCCTGAGGGGGAAAAGTATTTAGGAGATGCCCCCAGACCATATTCTAGTCTAACAAGGGGTTTCTATGATGCCAACTAATCCCCAGTGTTGGAGGGGCATCCTTCTACTGTCCCCTCTATCAGTAAGGAATACCCCAAATGATCTTTTCAACCAAGCAAGGAAAGGAGGTCTTAGCTCTAATCATCTTCTCTGTCCCAGGAGACTGCTTCCTTGTTGAGCAGCCAGGGGCTCTGTTTCCCTCTATGGTGACCTATCCCTGCCTTACATACTTATGATCAACGCCTAAAACTGCAGTGAAGAGTACCCTTCCCGAAGCAGACTCATTCTGGGAACCACTGCCCTCTCACCTTTTCATCAGAGGAGCTTGAAAATCATGCCAGGGATGTGTGTGTGTGCATGCCCCAAATCCTAGGAGGAGCATGGAGAAGGGATTGTGGTGTGGCTATCCCCTGTGGGGAGCGATTTCTCACCTTCCCGCTCTGCCATGTCTCTCTCTGTCTCTCTCCTCTCTGGTGAGCACATGTGCCCTATGGCTAAAACCTTAATAACAAAACCAAAAAAAAACCCCTGGGGGGACCTGAAAATGACAAAGAAGTATAGTCGTACATGCCAGTTGGAATAATCCACGTTTGGCTATTAAAACTGGTCCAGTATTCTATTAGTCCCTATTTAAGATGTTATATATTAACCACAGAATTTCAGGAAAAGGGACCAGCGGTTAGCATAATGGCTATGTCACTGGGCTCCCATGTAGTCGACCATGGTCTGCGGTTCTAGTCCCGGACCCGGTGGCTTAAACTCATGCCAGGTGCATGTGCGTGTGTGCCCAAGATCCCAAGAGGAGAATGGAGGAGAAGGGATTGTGGCGTGGCCATCTTCCCTGGGGGGTGATTTTTCGCTTCCTGTCTCTAGTCTCTCTCTGTCTTTCTGGCGAGCGCATGCGCCCTATAACAAAAACCTCTCAAAAAAAAAAAAGAAAAAAGAATTTCAGGGAAATATGTCAGAAATGATATCTAGAGTCTGATATCAGTCTGATAGGATTTTTTTTTTGTGGTATTTGTTGTCACAGGAGGATAAAAGAAAAAGGAGGAAAAAGGTATTGATGTGAGCATTCATTGATTCAACAGTTACTTACTGATATACACTGTGTAATAGCTCCTGCTCTGGCACTTGGCAATTCAGCCATGAACACAATAGACAAAGGCCTCTCACTTTCTAGAGCTTGCCTCACGATTTTGGAAATAATCAAAGAAACTAATTTGTGGGATTTTTTTGTTTTGTTTTGTTTTAAGTTTCAGGGATTTTTAGGTTTTATTTTATTTATTTATTTATTTTAGATTTTAGGGATTAAAACCTAAGTGACTACTATTAAAATGATGGTAGTGATCTTTAGTGAATCAAGAAAATGTTGGGGGTAGGGGGGAGGCATAGAAAGCAGCCATGGATACCAGAGACAGTGCGGGAGGAGGGTGGGAGATGGGGAATCAAGGATGGGAAAAAAAGCGAAATACACAGGAAACAAGAAATGGAAAGTGATTTGTTGATAGTAACACGTATGTGTTGATGTGCTTGACTAAGCCAATATACAGTACATTCTGGATGGAAAGATCTCATTCTGTATGCTGTAATGATGTAGAGTAAATGAATGTAAATAAATACATTCAAATTAAATAAATAAATAAATAATAGAATGATGGGAGTAATAACGTCATAGAGTGTTGGAGAATGGCTGTCATAAAGGCTGGGAAGGACAGGGGTGTGAGGGAGTAACTGGATGTTGGTTAATGGAATCAAAATTACAGATAGATAAGAGGAACACTTTCTAGTGATATAAAACACAGAAAGGGGAATGCCGTTGAAAACAGTTTACTGTATGGCAGAGTAGCTAAAAAAAAGAGGACTTGAAATGTTCTCAGCACAAAGAAATAGCACATGGATGAAATGATGACTATTCTAATTATCCTGATTTAATCAATATACATTGTATTCTTGTACCAAAAAATAACCTTGTATCCCCAAATGGACAATAAAAAGTAGCAATAACTTCAACAATAAACACTGTGCTGTAGGAGAGAGAAAGCAGCACATTCGTTTTCTTAGCCATTAGAACTTTCTCTGGCCTGCTAATAGCTTGGAAAGAAAAAATTTCTCATAAGAAATAAAGATGCTTAATAAGCTTGACCACTAATTTATATTTATCAACGGACAGAATTGTGAATCAAAAATTTTCATAGTAACCCCTGTTTTTCTAATTTAGAAATTATTTTAATAGTGTTACTAATCTTTGAAGTTAGCACATATATCATCATAGAGAAGAATTCTTGAGTTTTTTTTTTTTTTCTTTTTTTGGAGAGGTTTTTGCTATAGGGCATGTGTGCTCGCCAGAAAGACAAGAGAGAGAGACAGAAAGCAAGAAATCACCCCCCAGGGGGGATGGCCACGCCACAATCCCTTCTACTCCATTCTCCTCTCAGGATCTTGGGCACGCACACATACGTGCCTGGCGTGAGTCGTAGCCACCGAGTCCGGGACTCGAACCATGGTTGACTGCAATGGAGTCCAGTGACATAGCCATTACACTAACTGCTGGTCCCAGTTATTGAACTCAGACTTCTTACCTTTCCAACTTGGTGTTAGGAGTTGAAGAGCAGGTGTGAGTAATAATGGATTTTCTCTGTGATTTTTTTCCTGGGAAAAAACAGCTTTCAAACTGGGTCTTCTAAGTCCAGATTACTGCATGCTTCTGAAACCATAGTCAACCTCCATCCTGTGTTTCAGTGACGGGATGTGTTAGATTCCCAAAATTTCTGCCATGGCCAGCTCTGTGCCTAGAATTCATGTGGCCTCAAGGGTCACTCTTCTCATGTTCAGACTGTCCCTAGAGATATTGATCATTCCTCTTGGCACATCTAGAAACCAGGGCTCTCGTTCAGCCAGGGGGATGAATCCAAACGAATGAACTGAAATCACCCCAGCTCTGTTTTAGTGCCCAACCTACCAGAAGGCGTTTATGGATAGGAGTTGTGAAAGAATTCTGGCCCCTTCATCATGCCACCTCCAAGCATGCTTTTATACTGCCCAAACTTAGTTGTTTTGTGTTCTGTTTGTTGGTTTGGGTTCTGGGTGTTGTTTCTCTTTTTTAGGTTAATTCTTGCTTTCCACCTTTGGTGCTGGAGTTGCACCTTCAGATTTTTCTGACTCATTATCATCTATCATTAAAGTTTTGCTTTTCTGTTCTTCACCCCATAAAGGTGGGGAGAACTTCCTCTCCCTCCTAGTTCGATCAACAGAGTCTATTATGGGCTTAAGCTTTGTGCTCTCCTAAAGGGCATTATAGCATTGCCTTATGAAAATCAATTAGGGAAAAATTTTTTTTAAATACCTAGAAGAATAAGGAGCAACTATCTTTCGGTTCAGTCATGGGCCTTGTGGGAGCAAAGATGGGAGAAGTGCAAAATTGTAGGTGCAGAGATATACACACCACCATTCTTCATAGGGAGTCAGGGGAGTTATAACAAACATGCTCAACAATAAGGAAGCAGTTCATTGGGCAAGGCCAAAACAATACAGGAGGGACACTCAGCTATGACCCAGAGGCATTCCTTTTTCTTGATTCCATATCTGGAATATATGTTCTACGAATTTAGGAACTTCCTTTGTTTATTTGTTTTTATGCCAGAGGTCACATGAAGGCCAGAGTGTGGGGGGGGTGGAGAGCCAACATCCCCCAACCACCACCCACATAGCCTCAGGATCCTCTTGTGCCCAGCATAAAGCCAGGGGAGCTTTGACTCCACCCCTGGTGGACTATGTGGGATCCACTTGGTCTGTGTAGTGCAGACCTGCCATGCCAAAGGGCTGCCTCGTACTTTTTGTTTATTCCTACATCTCCAAAATTGATTATACCATTTGATACACAGTAAGCACTGAATAAATATACATTCCTTAATGGGAACAAAAAACGTTCTTAGACTAAACTGACCCACTTTTATAAACTTGAAGGTGACTTACAGCATCTGAAAAGAAGCTTTACCAATTTAGAAATAAGAACAGACTGTACATCTACCCCAAAGGCAGTGAACATTTTTAAAATTAATATTATTTGAATTGACAAATTAAAATTATATACATAAATGGGTGTAATGTGATGTTTTGACATATATACACACAATATAAATGATTAAATCAAATTAATTAACATACCCATTTTTGAGTTTTTTTTTTTTTTCTTTTTTTGGAGAGGTTTTTGCTATAGGGCATGTGTGCTCGCCAGAAAGACAAGAGAGAGAGACAGAAAGCAAGAAATCACCCCCCAGGGGGGATGGCCACGCCACAATCCCTTCTACTCCATTCTCCTCTCAGGATCTTGGGCACGCACACATACGTGCCTGGCGTGAGTCGTAGCCACCGAGTCCGGGACTCGAACCATGGTTGACTGCAATGGAGTCCAGTGACATAGCCATTACACTAACTGCTGGTCCCAGTTATTGAACTCAGACTTCTTACCTTTCCAACTTGGTGTTAGGAGTTGAAGAGCAGGTGTGAGTAATAATGGATTTTCTCTGTGATTTTTTTCCTTTGAAAAAACAGCTTTCAAACTGGGTCTTCTAAGTCCAGATTACTGCATGCTTCTGAAACCATAGTCAACCTCCATCCTGTGTTTCAGTGACGGGATGTGTTAGATTCCCAAAATTTCTGCCATGGCCAGCTCTGTGCCTAGAATTCATGTGGCCTCAAGGGTCACTCTTCTCATGTTCAGACTGTCCCTAGAGATATTGATCATTCCTCTTGGCACATCTAGAAACCAGGGCTCTCGTTCAGCCAGGGGGATGAATCCAAACGAATGAACTGAAATCACCCCAGCTCTGTTTTAGTGCCCAACCTACCAGAAGGCGTTTATGGATAGGAGTTGTGAAAGAATTCTGGCCCCTTCATCATGCCACCTCCAAGCATGCTTTTATACTGCCCAAACTTAGTTGTTTTGTGTTCTGTTTGTTGGTTTGGGTTCTGGGTGTTGTTTCTCTTTTTTAGGTTAATTCTTGCTTTCCACCTTTGGTGCTGGAGTTGCACCTTCAGATTTTTCTGACTCATTATCATCTATCATTAAAGTTTTGCTTTTCTGTTCTTCACCCCATAAAGGTGGGGAGAACTTCCTCTCCCTCCTAGTTCGATCAACAGAGTCTATTATGGGCTTAAGCTTTGTGCTCTCCTAAAGGGCATTATAGCATTGCCTTATGAAAATCAATTAGGGAAAAATTTTTTTTAAATACCTAGAAGAATAAGGAGCAACTATCTTTCGGTTCAGTCATGGGCCTTGTGGGAGCAAAGATGGGAGAAGTGCAAAATTGTAGGTGCAGAGATATACACACCACCATTCTTCATAGGGAGTCAGGGGAGTTATAACAAACATGCTCAACAATAAGGAAGCAGTTCATTGGGCAAGGCCAAAACAATACAGGAGGGACACTCAGCTATGACCCAGAGGCATTCCTTTTTCTTGATTCCATATCTGGAATATATGTTCTACGAATTTAGGAACTTCCTTTGTTTATTTGTTTTTATGCCAGAGGTCACATGAAGGCCAGAGTGTGGGGGGGGTGGAGAGCCAACATCCCCCAACCACCACCCACATAGCCTCAGGATCCTCTTGTGCCCAGCATAAAGCCAGGGGAGCTTTGACTCCACCCCTGGTGGACTATGTGGGATCCACTTGGTCTGTGTAGTGCAGACCTGCCATGCCAAAGGGCTGCCTCGTACTTTTTGTTTATTCCTACATCTCCAAAATTGATTATACCATTTGATACACAGTAAGCACTGAATAAATATACATTCCTTAATGGGAACAAAAAACGTTCTTAGACTAAACTGACCCACTTTTATAAACTTGAATGTGACTTACAGCATCTGAAAAGAAGCTTTACCAATTTAGAAATAAGAACAGACTGTACATCTACCGCAAAGGCAGTGAACATTTTTAAAATTAATATTATTTGAATTGACAAATTAAAATTATATACATAAATGGGTGTAATGTGATGTTTTGACATATATACACACAATATAAATGATTAAATCAAATTAATTAACATACCCATCACCTCATTTACATGTAACTTTTTTATGGTGAGACATTTGAAATTTACTCTTAGTTATTTTGAAATATACAATACATTATTATTGGCTATATCACCCTGCCATTCAATAGATCTTAAAACTATTCTTCTTGTCTATATGAAACTTTGTATGCTTTGATGAACATTTCCCTCCCTCCCTCCCCTCACTTCCAGCCTCTGATAATTACTCTCTACCTCTCTGACTTCAGTATTTCAGATTCCAAATATGAGTGAGACCAAGCAATATTTTTCTTTCTGTGCCCTAGCTTAAGTCACTTAACATGAAGTCCTCTAGGTTCATCCACATTAATGCAAATGACATTTCTTTCTTTTTTAAGGTCGAGTAGTATTGTGTATATACACCTCTTGTTTCCCCCTGCTTCACTACAGAGTGCATGTGCTAGCCAGGGAGAGAGAAAGAGAGAGGGACAGTAAAAAACCACTCCCCATGGGGAATGGCCACAGGGTAATCCCCTCTTCTCCATTCTCCTTTCAGGATTTTGGGCATGTATGCACATGTGCCTGGCTTGTTTCTCAAGCTGCTGCATTCAGGACATGAACCACACAGTTGGTCATGTAAGGTTCAACTGCTTTAACCACCACATCACTGATGAACCCAGTATACCACATTTTCTTTAACCAGTCATTCACTGATGGACACTTGATTCCATATCTTGTAAACAAATAACCTGATTAAGAAATGGACAAAAGGGGACCAGCAGTTGGCATAATGGCTATGTAGCTGGACTCCCATGTAGCCAACCGTGGTTTGAGTCCCGGACCCAGTGGCTTAAAACTCACACCGGGCACGTGTGTGTGCGTGCCCAAGATCCTGAGAGGAGAATGGAGGAGAAGGGACTACAACGTGGCCATCCCCCTGGGGGGTGATTTCTCGCTTTCTGTCTCTGTTTTTCATTTTTTTTTGGAGAGGTTTTTCCTATAGGGCACGTTGGGGGAGGGGGAGTGGCCACACTGCACCGGGTCCAGGACTCGAACCACAGTCGACTACATGGGAGTCCAGCGACATAGCCATTACACTAACTGCTGGTCCCTATGTCTCTGTTTTTCTAGTGAGCGCACGCACCCTATAGCAAAAACCTCTCCAAAAAAAAAGAAATGAACAAAGGACCTATAATAGACATTTCTCAAAAGAAGACATACAGTTGGCCAATAGGTACATAAAAACATGCTCAGCCCTACTAATCATTAGGGAAGTGCGTATTAAAGCTACATTACACCCATTAGAAAAGCTCTTTCCAAAAAAGTGAGATTCTAAGAGTTGGTGAGGATGCAAAAAAAAAAAAAAAACTGTGTTCTACATTGTTGGTGGGAATGTAAATTAGTACAACTGTAATGAAAGATGGTATGGAGGTCCCTCAGAAAACAAAAAATAGAACTGTCATCCAGTAATCTCACTTGTAGGTATATAACCAAAGGAATTAACTTTAATATGTGGAAGAGATATCTGCATTCCCACATTTATTACAGCAATGAACTACTTTTAAAAAGAATGATGAAAATTAAAGTTGACCCAGTGTATCACTTAGAATTAAGGATAAATAGGCGCTGGCAGGTGGCATGATGGTTAAAGGCTCTGGACGCCCACATGGCCAACCATGGTTCAAGTCCTGGATCTGGTGGCTTGCTTTCTCACTTTCTGTCTCATTCTCTCTCACTCTGTCCCTCTCTGGTCAAATTTAAATAAATAAATAAGAAAAACAATTAAGTGCAAATAAAGTCATAACTATTTTCTATTTGCGCTCCTTTCTTGTAGCTCAGGATGTCATGTATAAAATTTGGACATCTTTCATAGCAAGTTTCTTCTTTGGATTTCTAAACTCCAAACTGATCCAACTGTGGATGTCAACTGTTTTTGGTGATGATATCAGTCATATAAATCTCGTCTTTTCGGTCCCGTACATTGTCTTTTATATTTGTAAGTTAGAGTCCTATGCCAAAAGTTAAATAACAGAAATCCAAAATAAAACTATGGGAAAATTCATGCCAGGCAAAAGTTAGTAAAAACAATTCAACCGATCTAGAAGAAATATTTTTGTTAAAATAATTCATCAACAGAGGTAAAAGATAAGAATATCTATGCAGTAGAAAATAATATGCCAAGATACATAAAGCAAATAGTACTATAAAAGAAATAAGAGTTTGACTAAACTAGAATTATAGTAATATATTTTATTATGTCTTTCCCAGAGAATTTCATAATCAACTGAACAAAAGAATTGTGGCTATGAAAAGATTTATATGTAATAGAAACCTATATATATGCTTGGTTTATAAGATAAATAGAATTTTTTCTCCCCAAACAGAATGCATAGTCTTAAAGTATACTGGAAGACCATTTACAGAAATTAACTAGAAAAACCTTTCAATGAAACTCCAAACATTGTTCAGCAATCATTCAATTAAATTAAATACCAACTACAAAAGGAGAATGTAAGGGAATAAAGGAGGGAAAAAAGCAAAACATTTAATGGACACAAAAATGGAAAATTATCTGTTGATGATAATGTGTTTAGTAATATTTTTGAATGGACTAATATATAGTATATTTATGCTGAGAAAGTTCGTTTTGTATGCTGTAAAGATATACGTTGATTGAATGTAAAAGTAATATAAGAAAGTAAAAGAAAGAGGAAAATAATAATTCTAACTGCTTTTAAGTTAAATATATTTTTCTTGGTAACTCTTCACTCAAATAAGAAATAAAAATAGAGGGAACCAGCAGTTAGCTTAATGGCTATGTAGCTGGACTCCTACGTAGTCGACCGCGGTTCACGTCCCAGACCCGGTGGCTTAAAACTCACGCCGGGCGCGTGTGCGTGCGTGCCCAAGATCCCGAGAGGAGAATGGAGGAGAAGGGATTGTGGCATGACCATCCCCCCTGGGGGGTGATTTCTCGCTTTCTGTCTTTATGTCTCTCTCTGTCTGTCTGGCGAGCACACGCGCCCTATAGAGAAAAACCTCTCCAAAATAAATAAATAAATAAATAAATAAATAAAAATAGAAATTATAGATCAAATAGGGCTAAACATTATTAAACTTGTCGATATTATTAATTCCTTCACCACAATTGCCTTTTCACAGAAATGCAGGAGATATTGTTAACTAGCCATATCATTGTGTGACTCTGAGGAGAGGAAAGGACAGTGGGTGGGAGTAATAATTGTGGTGTTTTCCAGTTGAAACTAAGTGACTTTATAAAGCCATCATGCTATCACAATATATGATAAATTCGTTTCTGATAAGTTTGTGCTATTATTGATGTGAAATTTATACATTATATTATTTCCTTTTTGAAAATAGGTAAACTGGTTGGGATATCTGGAGAATTTACCCTGGTCATAATGGGACTTTTTTTAACTTCTACAAGTTTTAAACCAGGAGTTGAAGCCTTTCTTCTCAAGTGAGTGGCTAGGATGTTTTTAATTTTACACATTGAAAGCCATAATATTATCTGAATCCTTTAGGCAAAATTTGTAACCATACTTTGAGTTCATGTTGGTTCCACTCTCCCACTAATTTCTCAGGGCACTGACCATGTACTCAGTAATTTCCAATCTAAAGCCTATACCCATTAAACAGAGCCTAGATTAAGGAAAGGAGAATGAGGTAGTCATCTCAGACACGAAATTTAAGATGCCAAAAAATGCAGTAAATTGATAAAAGTAATGTTTTTTAACTTTTTCTTTTCTTTTTTTTTTTTTTTTTGGAGAGGTTTTAGCTATCGGGCACATGTAGTCACCAGAAAGACAGAGAGAGACAGAAAGACAGAAAGTGAGAAATCGAGAAATCGCCGCCCAGGGCGGGTGGCCACACCACAATCCCTTCTCTTCCATTCTCCTCTCGGGATCTTAGGCACGCACGCACACACACCCAGCATGAGTTTAAGACACCGTGTCCAGGACTTGAACCGTGGTCAACTACATGGGAGTCCAATGACATAGCCATTACGCCAACTGCTGGTCCCTAAAAGTAATATTTTAATTCAGTATTTTTAAAAAAAAATATGAAATTAACACAAAAAATTCCAAAGACCAATATTTTGAGGATGATGAAGAGATGCCAAATTTGAAGAGGATCAACAGCATTGCATAAGGGAGTATAGCCAAAGCAAATAGGAAGAACACTGAAAGTACAAATGTGCACATTGTGCTTTGTTCAAGAGCACCCAGCTGAAGGGTAAACAGAACCTGCATTAGCCTAGAGGAAGGGCTCTCCAAAACAGTGTGAGGATTTGATCTAACTCATACAATGGCAACATACATGTTAAAACAGGCTTTGAAAGTAAATAAATTTTGGAGTTTGGGAGAACGTCACAGGGGATAGAACAAATCCCGAAGTCAGAAGCTTAAAGATACAGGATCTTTTAGGATTTTAGACTATTTTCTTAAAATTTAATGCCAATTGAAAGAGAATTAAATTGGACTTGTGGCCATGAACTGATTTTAAAGAGAATGACAAAAAATAAAAGTTGGCCAATGAATTGGGCACAGTTATTTGGGCCATAAGTAAGGGAAAAGTTCAAAAAGCTTACACAGATATTTACATCAATGAAAAGTGATTCTCAAAGCTCCAGTCACCTTATTGCTCTAATTCATAACCGGATCTCCCCAAGGACATTACTTCCCTAGTATTCTGTCTAAGTTAGGATGTCTTTCTCACTTACATCCCTAGTACAATGGAGTGTACAGTCAGTGGGTGATCTAATTTTTTTCTTCTTTCTCAGAAGAGCTCAATTTTGAAGCTCATGCCATCAGGTTATATGTTACCCTCTTTGTTAGCTCTATAATCCTGAATCACATGCCATTTCATGAAGACTGTGGCTCCTATCTTACCGTGACTCTCTCCAACATTACGGCCACTGCAGAGTGATATCACTCTTCATGCAGTCAGTCCTTCTAGTCCCTTAGCTTTCGATTCCTGGATATTCTCTTCTATGAGCATGTTTACCACCCCACTTGAACCAACCACTTCCACAATTATACAAACAACCATTTCATAATCGCAGTTGCCTGGAATATGATACGAGCCAATTCTCTCACAGTAGAAACTCAAGATATAGCAATGAGTCTTCCTACATCCCACAATGACCTATAGTGGGCTCATGATGCAAGACAGCAAGTGCACCACCTCACTCTCACCACTTCACCTTTCGCTGTAATACCCTTAATTCTAACAGTTTTGTAGCTACACTGAGACTATAGTTCACTGATCCTATGACTTCTTTTTTCTCTAGAAGGTGCATGTGCTTGAGGCAGAGAGAGAGGAGAATAAGCACCTCTTATAGTGAATGGTTACTCTGCACTTCCTTCTCCATCTCTCCTTCCTTTGGGGATTCTGGGCACACATACATGAGCACACAGCTGGCATATTTCTCAAGCCACCAGGTCCAAGATTTGAACTGTGTAGTTGGTCATATTCGATCCAGCAGGATTAACCGCCAGGCTGTAAAGCTGGCTCAATCCTAGGATCATTAACTCTCACCTGCTTCATGTCGCCTACTTCATATCTCCTGTGTAAATATATAGAAAGAGAAAAATAAGTAAATTAAAAAAGACTCTTATGATTCTAAAACACTGAAACATGACCTGTATCGAGATTTGAGATTCATTTTTTGAACTGCTTTGCCTGCAGTTGATAAAACATGAGGTTTGGGAATGATAATGAGTTTTACCTCTGGTAACAGGCTCAGCAGACCCAACCATGCACCTTACAAACCATCTGGAGATGGCTCTATAATCTTTCTCTGTATAGAAGTGTCCTGGAAACAGTTTTATCATAATATGGAGACCTATTAGTAGGAGGTCATTACTCCTCTCCCCCAAGCAGAAAAAAATAAAAATAACAGCAAAGGCAATAATAAAATGAAAACTCAGCACATGGATTGAGAGAAAATATTTGCAAGTAATATATCTGATAAGGGGTTATTATGCAAACATGAAAATAAACTCATACAATTCAATTGCAAAAGCCACCTAATTAAAAAATGGGCTAAAGACCGCAATAGACATTTTTCAAAAGGTGATATACAAATGACCAACAGTTATATGAAAAGGTGCTCAACATTGCTAATCAGCAGGGAAATGAAAATCAAAACCACAATGAATTACCACCTCACACCTTTTTTTTTTTGAGAGGTTTTTGCTATAGGGCACGTGCGCTCGCCAGACAGACAGAGACATAGAGACAGAAAGCGAGAAATCACTCCCCAGGGTGGATGGTCATGCCGCAATCCCTTCTCCTCCATTCTCCTCTCGGGATCCTGGGCACGCACGCACATGCGCCCAGTGTGAGTTCTAAGCCACCAGGTCCGGGACACGAACTGCGGTCAACTACGTGGGAGTCCAGTGACATAGCCATTACACTAACTGCTGGTTCTCACATCTTTTTAAATGGTTATTATCAAAAAGACAAAAGATAGCAACTGTTAACAAGGAAGTGGTGGAAGGGGTACTCTACTGTTAGTGGAGTGTAAATTGCTACAGTACTTTTGGAAAATGGTATGGAAGTTCCACACACACACACACAAAATAATAATAGAACTACCATATGATTGAGCAAACCCACTTCCAAATATATATCTAATGAAAATGTTACCAGTTTCCTAGAAGCAATATCTGTACTAATATGTTCATTGCAGCATTATTCACAATAGCAAAGATAACAAAAATAACCTAAATGTCTACTGACAGATGAATATACAGTGAAAATGGGAGAAATAAATAGATAGATATAGATATAGATAGATATAAATTGATATAGATAGACATAAAGACATATGTGTCCATATAATGGAATATTATTTAATCTTAAAAAGGAGAAAAATTCTGTCATTTGCAATAACATGGAGGAAATGCAGGTCATTATACTAAATGGAAAAAGCCAGAAACAGGGGAACCAGTAGTTAGCATAATGGCTATGTTGTTGGACTCCCACGTAGTCGACCGCAGTTCGCGTCCCAGACCCGGTGGCTGAAAACTCACGCCGGGTGCGTGTGCGTGCGTGCCCAAGATCCCGAGAGGAGAATGGAGGAGAAGGGGTTGCAGCATGACCATCCCCCCTGGGGGGTGATTTCTTGCTTTCTGTCTCTATGTCTCTCTCTGTCTGGCGAGCGCACGCGCCCTATAGTGAAAACCTCTCCAAAAAAAAAAAAAAAAAAAAAGCCGGAAACAGAAAGACAGAGGTTGTGTGATCTCACTTATATGTGTAACCTAAAAGAGTCGAACTCATAGAAGCGCAGAAAATGGTGGTTGCCAGGAGCAGAGGGCGGGGGAAGTGGGCAACAAAGGGTCCGTTATATGAGATGAATACATTCTGAAGCTCTAATGTATAGATAGTATGGAAATAATACTGTATTTTATATATGGAATTGTCTAAGAGGGAAGATTTTAAGTGTTCATACCACACACACACACACACACATTACTATGTGAGGTGCTGTGCACGTTAACTAGCTTAATTGTGGTGAACATTTCATGACGTATATGTACATCAAAATATCAAATTGTACACCTCAAATACATACAATTCCTATTTGTAAGTTATCTGCCAATTAAGTCGATGTGACTGGTGGGGTGGGGGGACAGTCATTCATATCTGATCCCTAAGCTGACATTAGGCAGACTGAACTCTATCACTATATAAAACTAATCTTTTAGTATTCCCTTGGAAAATATTTTTTTAAAACTCTTCCTAAAGAAACGATGACTTTACAATAGGTATTTTCGAGTTGTGTAAAAGATGAGGTGGGATATTTGAAGTCTATCAAACAGCATAGTTGCAAACTAATCATTTCTTTCAGATACAATTTGAAAAGAAAGACTAATTTAAATACAGAACAAACTAGTTTTGTTTCATTTGCCTTAGAGCTCCTTTCTTCCCAGTTAAATTTTAGTCCCTTGAGTGTTGGTAAATGTTTTATTCATCCTTATTTTCTTTCATAATGAATGTTTCAATGCTTCACATAGATAAGTCTTCCAATGAAAATGAATACATAATTGTAATTAACTTTGTTTTGTTTTTTTTTTTTAAATGCAGATTCTGGAATCTTCTGTCATTTGTGGCTTTTCTCATGGTGTTTACTTTCATTGGTCTTCTAATTCCTACACAAACATATTTATATGTAACATTTTCTGATCTGTATTATTCATTAAATATGTACTTCATGCTGATTGTTTTAAGGTAAGAATGCCATTTGAATTTTTTTCTCTAGAAAATGAAGACAGATGATCATCTTTTAAATAATAAAAATTAATACCTTAGAACTAATTGACTCAAACTTCCTGAGAAATCATCAGCAAATCAATGCTCATTATTTTTATTTTCAGCTTGTAACTGAATTTTAAATCTGTGCAACCACTTTGTAAAATTATGAAATGTAGGAAGGAGAAATCTTTTTGTGTTGCCAGAGGGTGCTTGCGCTTACCAAAGAGAGAAACAAAAGAAAAGCACCCTCCAATGAGAACTGGTCATTCCACAGTCTTTTCCTCTGTTTCTCCATCCTGTCAGGATCTTTGTGCATGCATGCACATGTGCCGAGTGTGTTTTTCAAGCCACTGAGACCAGGATTTGAACCATGGTCGGTCATGTGTCATCTTGCTCCCAATGTACAGGGTTTGACATTTTTTTTTTCTTTTGCCATGTGTGCTCACCACCAGAGAGAGATAGAGAAGGAGAAGGTGAGAAATCACCCCCCACCAGGGGAGATGTGGCCACACCCAAATTCCTCCTCCTCCATAGATTTTGGGCAAGCACAGTTGCCAAGCATGATTTTCAAGCTACTGGGTCTGGGACTCAAACTGTGCACTCAGCTATGTGGGATTCAGTGCCTTAACCATCATGCCATCTGCTGGCCACAGGGTTTGACCTCGTACAATGAGTTTAGCCCATGGCAGTATGGGACCAACTCCTATAATTTTCAATTAGAGGAAGCCACTATTCCAATTTGGTATATTTCAATTCAGTGTGTCTATTTTTTTTTATAAGTTTTCAGGAAGTTAAGCGCCTAAAATAAATACAAATTATGTATAGTGTTTTTCCTTACTATTTTATAGCAAATTCCTATGAATTAAAAATTATAGTTGGATGGACCAGCAGTTGGCATAATGGCTATGTTGCTGGACTCCCACGTAGTCGACCACAGTTCGAGTCCCAGACTGGTGGCTTAAACTCACACCGGGCACATGTGTGCATACGTGCCCAAGATCCTGAGAAGAGAATGGAGGAGAAGGGATTGTGACATGGTCATCTCCCCATCTCACTTTCTTTCTCTGTCTCTCTCTTTCTGGCGAGTGCGCATGCCCTATAGCAAAAACCTCTCCCAAAACAAAAAAAATTATAGTTGGAAATAGCATTTTATAAAAACATATGAAAGCTCTGTTCATAAATTATTTGTTGTTGTTGTTATTTTCGTTGGTCAGATGACTTTCATAGTCTCTTTTTCCAAGAGTAAGAAGCAGAAAAGAACCTGACCAGGTAGCTTAAAAGACAATGATATAGAGTAGTAAAAAACACACTAGAGTCTCACAGGCTTTTAATATCCATTGTTCAAATTGCTAACATGCTACTCCCATCTAGAAAAGTTAGTTGGGTTGTTAACTTCAAATCATCTAGTGCTAAATAAATGGAAATAAGTAGCCAATTATCCGATGAACTCGGTAGAAATGTAGGGATGATATGTGGATGGAAGAAGAACTAGATAGAAACTGACACATACTGGACACTTTCAGCAAAATTAAAATCTATGACGAAAAAGAAAGGGAGAGCATTTTCTTCCCACTTCTTATTTATTAGTTTTTTTTTTTCTTTTTGGGTTCCAGATTATATCTACACAACATCTCTAACTTTTCTTTCTCGCCTGAAGAAGCTCCACTCAAGGGTGGTGTGGAACTACCCTACTACTTACCTAGTAGAAAGAAACAAAGAGAATAACGCCATTCTCTGGGCACAGATCTATGAAATGTACCTCCTGCTTGCCTTTGGTGTCATGCCAGCAATGTGTGGAAGATGGCTCATTTGTTTGAAAGTTGGCAGTTCCACAGGGATTAGACTGGAATAGTGTAGAATAAAATGGAAAGAAATTTCTATGACAAGAATAACTTTTAAAAAATGTTTTGTCTTTTAGACTTCTGGTCTTTCTATTAATGAGTCCTGTTTTGTCTCGACTTGGTGATGGTTTCAGCTGGCGCTGGGCGTTCATTATGGTCTGGAGTGAAATGAAAGGGACGCCCAATATAAACATGGCCCTTCTGCTCGCCTACTCGGAACTGTCTGTCGTATCGGAGAGGGAAAAGTCTCAAGTAAAAAAAGCTGTATTTTTCTTACTTAAATATTTTATAAAGCTGTCAATGAGCATTCATCATGCTTTGTAATGGGGTAGCTTGACCTGCACTTGGGCTTTAAGAATGATTTAGTTCTATGGCAAGATTGGTGAGAGGAAGACTTTCTTTTTCCCTAGTTTGACTTAGGAATTCCTCATTTTTTTTTAATCTAAAAATTGGTTTGTTATGAAGATTAAAGGAATTAAAACATCATTTAAAATACTACTGGGTACAAACTACGTACTCAATAAATATTTTTATATTTTATTATTATTATATTTTACTCCTAATACCTCCTGAAGAGAAGATGAAACCTACTCCTGGTTGGCTCCATTGCCTCCTGTAACTTTATGAGGCCATATTTAGTAATGCTAGGAATCGAAAGATTTTATTTGTCAGGTAAAATTCTCTCTAAGGCAATTCCTCCAAACTCTGCCTCACAAAGCATGCCAGGCATGACTTTCCCTCTACCACATCTCAGGGTAAGGTCATTACCACAGCTCTATTTAAAGCTCCTATTGCAAGCATGACAGTGCATATTGACATGTTTGTTGTATATGCATGTGTATGTGTGTCTTACACAAATCCCCAGTGTGCAGGAAAGAGAGGCAGGAGTCTAATTAAAAAAACAGTCCACACTGGTTTGGACTATTCCAAACATGAAGAAACTAAATGTTTGAGTTTCTTTTAAAACCAAAATTATCTAATGTCACATGACATTTTTGTTCTTTTGAACCAAGTTCCACATTCCCAAATAATTAAGATCAGCATCAGTGTCATCTCCTCACATCCTGATCAGTGTAATAGTGTACACTGCATACAGGTCTAAGTTCCAAAATTTTAGCTTAGCTGCTATTTGCTATGTATCTATCACGAAGTTTTTGAATTCCTACCTCACCCCAAGTGTCAGTTTCCTCATTCCAAAACAGACTCAATCAAAGTACCAATTTTTTGCTGGTAAATGTTTAGCCAGCAAATTTGTGTGTGAGCGGGATGAGATCTATTCTGTAGTATTTGCCAATTTATGTTGCATAATTAATTCCACCAACAGAACACTTACCAGCTCATAAACTTCCTGCAGATTTAATAATCAACTCCCATAAGCAGGAAGAGCCAGTTCTAGAACACCAGTATCTGAAAAGGCTATTGTGGGGACCAGCAAATGGTGTAATGGTTACGTCTCTGGACTCCCATGTAGTTGACCACGGTTTGAGTCTCAGATCCAGCAGTTTAAAATGCACACCGAGCACATGTGCATGAATGTCCAAGATCCTGAAAGGAGAATGGAGAAGGGATTGTGGTATGGCCATTCCCACCCGGGGGGTGATTTCTCGCTTTCTGTCTCTGTCTTCTGACTAGCACATGTGCAAAAAACAAAACAAAACAAGACAAGACTCTCTTAAACAAAACGTCTACTGTGAAAAATAATACAAAAATGCATATCAAGTTTTTTACCATATAGTAAATGTATATAGATGCAAGCATTAATGATGATGATAATGATATGCTGTGTAGCACTCTTTTGAAATAAAACCATAGTAAATAAAATAATTTAGCGAAATGACCTTACTAGTCATAACCACCTGAGAAGTAACATTTTTTCTTAATTTAACCTAGCTGAATCCTACAGCTAATTTATTAATACTTGTAAAAAGGCTAATCCAAAGATACACTGTCTTTTTAATCGTGTCTTTATGCCTCACAAGCTATGAAAGTTGTAAGTTACATACTCCAGCTTTCCAAATGTATGATTGGACAATATTGACATCCACTTCACAGAGTTCTTATGATGATTAAATAAGCCTCATATATTTTATTAAGTGCCTATCATTTAAGTGCTAGCTCTTATTATTGTGAAATTATTAAACTAATTCAACCTAGAATGTACTTTAGGCTGCTTCAGGAACTTTAAAAAATATATGAATGCCTATGGAATCCTGGCTATTGCCATGATGAATAATGGATATGATTTACTTTCTCCACAATAAACAATTACAAAGACAGTTTAAAAATCTAAAACAACTCATTGGACATTGCATGGTTAGATCCTTGAAAGAAAGGAAACACATGAAGTGCATTCACATTTGCTCTGGTCTTTCTTCCACGCTGCATTACAGAAAGTGGAAACCAGAGTGCAGTAATCTCGCGAACTGGAGAAGCTGGAAATCAGAGTTTAGGGCTCCTGAACCAACTAGAATGTGTAGGGCAGGGTACCATCAAGAGAAGAATTTATAGAAAGAGCAGCAGAAATCTGCATGAGAGTTACCTTGGCTTATTGGTCCAATACCAGTCTGTGCGAGCAAAGTATTAAAGGGAAGGATTCGTCAAAAAAGAGGCATTTGAACCAAATGGTCATTCTAGAGATCACACAGCCCTGACAGATACTAGAGTTCTGACTAGACACAATGAAAAAGCCTCACTGAACACCACATAGGTTAATGTCACCGCAGAAAGACCATGTCTTAGAAGTAATGACTACACTCTACAGTAAGTTTTACTCTAGACCCACTCTAAGAAAAACAAAACCCTTCTCTTAGTAGGATAATGTATTCTGCCAATATTTTAATTGCTTGACACAAACTCAAAACATTATAGGAAGACAACATATTCAATACTCTCAATAATTAGCATCCATAACATATAGCCTAAACTCAAATATTACTGTACATTTGAAGCAGAGAAATATTACCTATTATTAAGAAAAAAACAACTCAATTGAGACAGACCCAGAGATAACATAGATACTAGAACTAGCAGAATCGTTAAAAATGTATTCGAGAATTTGAGACCAGCAGATGGCATAATGGTTACATCACTGGACTCCTAAGTAGTCGACTCGAGTTCAAGTCCCAGATCCAGTGGCTTAAAAACTCACACCAGGTGCATGTGTATGCATGCCCAAGATTCCGAGAAGAGAATGGAGGAGAAGGGATTGTGGCATGGCCATCTACCCTGGGAAGTATTTTCTCACTTTCTGTCTGTCTCTCCAGTGAGCATGCACACCCTATAACAAAATCTCAAAAAAAATTTTTTTCAAGAATTTAAAGTAAAAAATAGATATAAGAAATGAAGGCATGAAACATTTTGGTGAAGAAATTAAAACTATAAATAAGACAAAGGAAAATTATAGAATTGAGAAACCAAATATCTAAAGTAGAAAATTCCCTTTCTGAGATTTGTCACTGTTTAGAGTAAGACTCAGGAGTGATCATCTCAAGAGAATAAGGAAAGTATATTGAGCAAGAGTGCCCAAGGATCTGAAGCTGCAGGTGCTTCAGCCACATGCCAGAAAAGAGGATGATCTTTTATAGGGCGTCTGTTTAAGCTATTTGGGGAGACTGTATAAATATGGCAAATATACAGGCATGGTTAGTCATGGTGGGATCAGTACATTCCTCATGTACCAAACATTTTGCATTGTTTTATTTTTTGCTGTTAGACCCTATACTTGTTTTATGTCTTTGTGTAATAGGTTTTGGATCAGCATGTCCCTACAAATTTAATGGCAAATTAGACTAGGATAACTGAAGATTTTCTGCTCAGACTTCACCCAAGATCTAGCCAGGTAGAGCAACCTCTGTATTCTTTCTGTCTTCCTCTTCCTCTTTCTCTTTAAATTTTGTTTTAAATTTCTTTTTCTTTTTTTTATGACTTTTGTCTTCTTTTTGTTCTTTGTATTATTATTTTTTTTCCCTGTTTCTTTTACCTTTCTCACTTTCCTGCTCAGCCTTCACACACTGAGTTTCTAGACAGGGATAAGTGCACAGTAGCCAAATATCTGAATATTTTTAGGGTCAGAATAAACCTTAATTCCCACTGAATCTGCTACACAAAGGGGGAAATATAGAACTGCAGAGAGGTTACAGATCACCTCCTCCTGCATGCCTCTGAATGCTCAGATTTAACTCTAAAAATTAAAACATGTATAAGCCATCAGATGACCGGAAACCACCACAGAGGCACAAGAAGTATGAGAAACCAAGAAATTATCTTTCCCCAAAGCAAAACAATAACTCCTCATCATCCATAGACAGTACAATAAAACTCATGGAAATGTCAGATAAAGAATTTAGAATATTCATAGTGACAAAACTAACAGAGATGCAAAAGAGAGACAACGAACTCTAGAAGATGCAAGAGAAAGAGACAATGAGTTCCAGGAGATGAGGAAGTTCTTGCACTATCTAAAAGAGGAAATACACACCATAAAAAAGAATCAGATGGAATTGTTAGAGACTGTAATACAGGAAATCAAAACCTCCCTTGAAAGTATTAAAAGCAGATTAGGTCATGTAGAAGATCGAATCTCAGATGTAGAAGACAGAACCTCTGACCTAGAAAAATTCACCAAAAAGACTGAAAAAATAACCCTCAAAATGAGAATAATATATGAGTAATACTGGATACTGTTAAATGCCCAACATTCAGATAATAAGCATCTCAGAAGGCGAAAAAACTAATAAGGGCATTCCATGAAATCCTGGAAGAAAACCTTTCCAAACCTAGAGAGGAATTCAGATATCCAGACCCAAGAAATACAAAGCACCCTATGTAGAATCAACACAAGAATATCTTTTCCAAGGTACATCGTAGCCAGATTGACCAAAACCACAGACAGAGACAAGATACTAAAATTGGCAAGAAAGAAACATCAAGTTACTTTCAAAGGATATCTCATCAGTCTAACATTGGACCTATCATCAGAAACAATGCAAGCAAAGAAAGAATGGGAAAATATATTCCAAGTGTTAAGTGAAAAACAGTTTCAACCAAGAATTCTATACCTGGCAAGATTATCCTCCTATGGAAAGAAAAGATAAGAACATTCCCAGACAAACAAAACCTGAAAGAATTTACCAACACCAGACCAGTTCTCTAAAAAGTTCTGAAAGGAGTGCTATACTAGGAAAACTAAAATCAGACACACAGAAATAAGAGTACAATAAAAACAACCAGTGAATGGCCAACTTAATTGTAGAGACACATCTGGAAAGATCAGTAATAACATTGACTGTTAACTTCCAGAATTTAGATGAAAAGATAACAGTAACACTGCACATTCAGCAAAAGAGAGATTAATTAATAAGACTGATCCGGTGAAACAGAATTTATGACTTTTGACTAAAACATTACCAATTTTCTTCTATGATTTGTTTTCCAGATTTAAGGATTTTTGTCTTCTCTTGAGCTGTTGACAGGTTCATCTACCTACTGTTTGAACTGAAGCCTAACCTTTTTTCTGGCTTTAAGTCTTAAGCAAATTTCTCTTAACATTTTTTTTTATTTTGATCTATGAAAGCTAAACCTACTTCTGTGGAAATTAAAAATTGCATTAAAATACCTATTTAATGACTGCAGTAAGCTATATAGCCCCAGCTAGGTGCTACTTTATGGTATGTTCATCCTACTCATTGAGGTTTATGCCTAAAGTCAGACATGTGTTCATAGATACATATATATTAGCTACACTTGCTATTGAAAGTATTTCGATTAAGATCCCTTGTGAATCAATAAAATGTGGGGGAAAGGCAGGGAAAGCAACTGTAAGTATCAGAGACAATATGGAAGGAGGGTGGGAAATGGCAGAAAGTGAGAGGTAGGGAATCTAGGAAAAAATTTTTTAAAAAGAAGCAAAATATACAAGACACAAGAAATGGAAAATGATTTGTTGTTGATAACACATATGGCAATATCCTTTACTGAGCCAATATACAGTGTATTCTGGATGGAAAAAATCTCATTTTGTATACTGTAATTATATATAGCGAGTGAGTGTAAATACATAAATTTAAAAATAAAAAAGTTTAATAGCAGATTGACTAATATGAGGTAAAAAGACAACTCTACATTTTAAACTAGAGTGGAAAATATGAGAAGCAAAAACTGGTAACAATTAGAGGGAGAAATAAACAACTTATAGTTGGAGACTTAGACATTCCTCCCTATAACGTGTTCAGCAAATTATAGAACAACTAGACAAAATTCAGCAAAGAAAAAAGGGAATTGAGCAACACCTTTGAACAACAGAATCTAATAAACATTTAGAAGGATACTCCAAAAGGTTTACCAAGTACTGCCTAAGTGGCTTGGCATGCTGAATCCATAGGGATGATCACAGTTTTGGTTCCTCGGTTGACTTGTGCACACGGGCATGCTACCATGATCCTGGTTGAGAGTGCAAAGGGAACAGGATTGTAATGTGAGACCTTGTTGGGACTGCTTGTTTCTCTCTCTTGAAAGAAAGAAATAATTTTTTTTTAAATTTGTGAAAAATAGAATTAAAGTACAGTTTATTTTGGTTAAAAAACCCTGAAATCTATACAAAGTTTTTTCATAATATGCTTTTTTTAATGAACTTTTTGAAGATCTTCCATACTGAATCAAATCAATGAATATAGAAATCAAGTGGTACCAAAGACATTAATTGCTCCTCTCTCCTGACAATGAATGGGCACCAGAGAGGCAAAGTAAGAGTTTGAAGAAAACATATCAAGGCTTCTGAGTTTTTCACTTTTCCCAGGTGGGGAGAATTATTTGTAACAGATGTGCTGGTAAAGTTGAGCAAAAAACTGTGCACAGGTAGATGTATGCCGTGGGTAAGGACGGATAGTATATTCTCAGGGGCCAAGAAGTGCAGTCAAGGAATTTTAAAACCAAATATACTTTTCGATGTCTCTGTATGTTCACTTGGCAGACCATGTGTTTTGATTTTGATTTCATTCTTTTTTTTTTTTTTTGGAGAGGTTTTCGCTATAGGGCACATGTGCTCGCCAGACAGACAGAGACATAGAGACAGAAAGCGAGAAATCACCCCCCAGAGGGAATGGTCACGCCGCAATCCCTTCTCCTCCATTCTCCTCTCAGGATCTTGGGCACGCACGCACAGGCGCCCGGCGTGAGTTTTAAGCCACCGGGTCCGGGACACGAACCGCGGTCGACTATGTGGGAGTCCAACGACATAGCCATTACGCTAACTGCTGGTTCCCTTGATTTGATTCTGAAATATGTGGTAAGATAGAGAATCCCAAAACTTTTATCATACCTGAGATCCAAATTCCTCCTCTGCCACGAGCTATTAACATAGTACAACCAAGCTTAATTTACACTAGTAAATATAGACTATATAATATAAAGTTGTCATGAATATTTACTTTGTATTTTTTTTAATTCTAGATATTATTTCATGGAGTGTCAATATGCTTAATTACACTTATTATCAATAAATTTATTTTGCCAATGGCAGTTATTAAACTAGGTAAGTTCTACTAATTACTATGCTGAGTGAAGAGAAGAATATTCTAAATATGCCATAGAAGTGGTAATAATGAAGGAAGAAGCCATATAAATGCAAATTGGTCATGTCTAATTGAAAAGAACATTGAATTTCTATGTAAAGGCATATGAATGGTTTTGACCAGAAAGTATGTTTATATTAGAAGATATTTATTTATCATAGTCCAGTGTAACTAAAATATAATACAAGTTCACCCAATTATTGAAAAACCTTTCATTAAGAGCTTCTTACATGCCAGATATGATTCTAACTAATAGTGATACTTTTGGAAGGCATGCAAGATTTCTTAGTTGATGGAGCATACATCAGAATGAGGATAAAGACAGTAAATAAATCATAAGGTAATATCTGAGTCATGTGTGCATCAAAGCAAACAAACTACAATAAAAAAATAGTGAACACAATAGATACTAAATTCCTGAGAAGCTAGAAACTGGATGTGTTTAAGGATAGAAAAGAGGTTTGAGGGATTGAAATTCTAGAGAATAATGCAGATAATTCCTCTGATGTGCTTAACTGGTTAATGTGATTATAGAAGCTAAGTTCCAAGACTTATAGTCCAAAGACCTAAGAACCAAAAAGAAAATGTTATAAATTCTCATTCAAGTCCTAAAGCAGGAGAAGACCAATATCCTAGATCAAAGATCATTAGGCAGAGAGAATGAACTCTCTTTTGGTCAGCCTTTTAATTTATTCAGGCCTCCAACAAATTCTGTGCATCCCACATACACTGAAGGGGGCAATCTGCTTTACTTTGTCTACCAATCTAAATGTTCACAGAAACACCCTTCCAGATATACCCATAATCATGTTTAACCAAATATCTGGGCATCCGGTGGCCTGGTGAAATTGACCATTCCACCAGTGTTCTTCTGTTTCCTCATATATAAAAAGGGGAGGAATTTTCAATTCTTCTTAGGGAAAAGAACTTCAGAAGGTGGCCAAGATAACCTAAAGACTTAGTGTATGTGAAATGTTTACATACATTTTCCCATCATATTGTAGCACCCAATAAATATTAATTATTATTGCTATTATTATTTTTTAGATTTTTTTGCCATAGGGGACACATACTTGCCAGAGAGAGAGGGACAATGAGAAATCAACCCCCAGGGAGATAGTCACATTGCAGTCCTTTCTCCTCCATTTTCCTCTCCAGATTTTGGGCATGCATGCACATGCACCTGGTGTGTTTTTCAAGACCCTGGTAAAGGGACTCAAACTGTAGTTGGCCATATGGGATCCAGTGCCTTAACCACCACACTATCTGCTGGGCCAATTATTACTATTATTATTATTATGTACTTCAGTTTCTGTGGAGAGTATGAAGCTAGAAAAACTTCAAATTGTTAGTATGCCATTATTAAATAATTTATGTTGAATCTTCAATGTTTTAAAATAATGTTTAGGGACAATAAGTTAAGAATGCAAGTATACTTTGTCATCTACATCGAAAAAGGTGGTGTTCCTATTTATAAAATGTGCTTTTTGGATCAAAGGTCTTCATGATGTCACCTCAACAAAATATAAATCACTGTATTATACATTCCGACACTTTCAAGAATTAATCAAAGCTAGAGTCTCCACATTCAAACTTAACAAAGATCTTGCTAATTCTAGTTGGAAAATGGCTGAGAAAGTAGTCACACTTCGAAACCCATATGCGGTAAGCAAATCATTTGTTTATTCCTTCAAAGTAGATATGATTGTCTTTAAGTAAGTAGAAATCATATCATAGATATTCACTATTTCTAATATTTGTAAGTGACAGAAATTGTACTGGTAGCTTCTGACTTTCCATCATAGGAAGAGGGTTCTTATAGAACTCGCCATGGCTATGAGGCAAAATAGAATTCACAACCCCTTTGATTATATATAAAATACATGTTGAAGAGACCAGCAGAGGGCATAGTGGTTACATCACTAGACTCCAACATAGTTGATCATGGTTCAAGTCCTGGACCCAGAAGCTTAAAACTCGCACTGGGCGCACATATGGGCATGCCCAAAATCCTGAGAGGAAAATGGAGGAGAAGGGATTGTGGCATGGCTTTCTCCCCTGTGGGATAATTTCTCACTTTTCTGTCTCACTGTCTCTGTCTCTCTAGAGAGCACACACATAGCAAAAATCTCTTTCAAAAAAATGTGTTATCAATTCAAGAGAGATTACTGTATGTTAGAAGTTCTTTTGAAAGCTATCGTTAAAAAAAGAGAGTAAGCCTTAGAAGATGACTAGATTTTACCAAGTTGAGGGTAGGCAGGGGGCAATCCTTCATTCATTTAGTTAGGCTATCCTACATGCTAAGCATCCATCGGCTCTTGGCCTATGGTTAATAGTACTTTGAAAATATAAAATAGAATTCTAAGCTAGTATCATAAATTTAGCTGTGGGTGAGATACCACCTGCTTTTTAGGTATGCCTTAAAATTTTTGGTCAGACTTGCCATCTAAGAGTACTCAGGGTTTCCATAAGAGGAAATAGTAAAAGTTGTCTTGGGATCTTCTCAAGCTGCTGCTGCTTTTGGCTGCTTTGATATATCCCATGGCAGGTTGACTTTTCATTGCAATACTTTTCTGCTTCACACAATATGAGAGGGCAACTTCTAGGAGTGCAAAAGTAAGAGAATTAATCTCTGTGAAACAGGATTCTCAAAATGCATTTCATAGCCACTGACCAATGCTTTAAGGTCTCTATATGAGGACTGAGAGCTGAGCCCTGTGCCTGCAGAAATGTTGCCAGCATTTCTGGATGGGATAAGCATGAAGTCAAATCCAAGGATTTCTCTAGTAGCTCCCAATATCTGATTGCAGGCTTTTGCCGACTTATCTTCCTTGGAATCATCTGGAAAGCTAAATTTAAAAATATTACAGCCTAGCAGAGGTTATGGTGGTTAAGACACTGGACTCCCACATGGCCGACGATGATTTGAGTCTGGAACCTAGCAACTTGAAAATCTTGCCTGTGTGTGTGTGTGTGTGTGTGTGTGTGTGTGTGTGTGTGTGTGTGTGTGTGTGTGTGTGTGTGTGTGTGTGTGTGTGTGTGTGTGCCTAAAACCCCAGGATGATGGAAGGGAAGGGATTGCAGCGTGGCCATTACCCCTGGGGGCAGAGCGGGGAAGATTCTCATTTTCTTTCTCTGTCTCTCTGTTTCTCTCTGGTGAGCGCATGCACCCTATGGCAAAAACCTTTAAAAAAAATAAATCGATTGCATTCCTAGTTCCTACCTCAGAGATTCTGATGCAAGTCCTCTTAGCAGGGTCCCAGACACACACACACACACACACACACACACACACACACACACACACACGTATACCCCGGGTACTCTAATGAAGAATCAGTACTGGCACTACTGTTGGGTACTTGAACTGCTTGATAAGGCAGGTTATCAGACAGCGCGTTCCCCTCTTTACAACGCAGACATGGAGGCCATTACAGCATTACAAATAGACCACTGGCCTTTGACTTAGAAAATCTGGTTTTATATCCTAGTTTTGTCACTTAATAAATAACATTGCTATCCTGAGCAAATTATTTTCTCTAAATTTGAGTTTTTCTCACCTTCAAATTAGCCATATTTCCACCTCCTTAGTGCTTGTATACCTCCTCTTGTACCTTAAGTACTGTAACTAGTATAAGGCTATGGTTGTCAAACTTTAGCTGCAGCAGAATCATTGAATGGTGGTGTAGGCGCACAGATTGCTGCTCACTCCTCCTAATTCTCATTCAGTAGGTCTAGGGTGGGGGCTGGAATATGCATTTGTACTGATTCTCAAGTGATGCCGATGTGGCGGGGGGACCACACTCTGATAACTGCTGATATAAGTATGAGCATGTATGTGGTATCTCTTAGCCAATCTCAGTAATATGCACTAAGTAAAGATATAACACGTTTTCACAAATGATGAGGATCTGAACAGTTTTCATGATCTACTGATTTTCTATTATATTTTCTACCCAAACTAGAAAGGGATAGCAACTAAATGTATGATAAAAAGTATGTTGGGAACCAGTAGTTAGCGTAATGGCTATGTCGCTAGACTTCCTCGTAGTTGACCACAGTTCGCGTCCCAGACCCGGTGGCTTAAAAAACTCACGCCGGGCGTGTGTGCATGCGTGTCCAAGATCCCAAGAAGAGAATGGAGGAGAAGGGATTGCGGCGTGACCATCCCCCCTGGGGGGTGATTTCTCGCTTTCTGTCTCTATGTCTCTTTCTGTCTGTCTGGCGAGCGCACTCACCCTATAGCGAAAAAAACCTCTTCCCGCCCCCCCCCAAAAAAAAAAAAGTATGTTTGCATTCATAATAATTGGCCAGAGAACTGTGGGAAGTGGATACTAAAAAATATGTTCAGATGCATGCATTATTTTTACTTTTGTTTATGTTTTATGTAGTCGAGCCAAGAAGACACAACAGAACATCAGAAAGTGACATGTCCGGACTGTAACAAGGAAATAGATGAGACCCTTAATATCGAAGCAATGGAGTTGGCCAATAGGCGTCTCTTCTTGGCACAAATAGTACAGTATTATACACCTCTAAAATTGTCATAGGGCCTAAATTATTGTAAAGACATTTTTCCTTGCTAATGTTCTTGACTATGTTCACCTGCATAACTCAATAGATGGTTTTAAACGGCAAAAGGAAGCTTGCCACTCTCTTAGGAATCGACTGCAACAGAAAGAAGAAAGGACAGATAGAAACAAAAAGAAAGAATGAAATTAGTAAAAGTTAGTCTATAACTTACCAAAATGTGATAGAAGTAAAAACGTATGCTATCTACTATATAATTTTTTTCTTTCTTTGGAGAGGTTTTTGCTATAGGGCACATGTGCTCGCCAGACAGACAGAGAGAGACAGAGAGACAGAAAGCGAGAAATCACCCCCCAGGGGAGATGGCGACCCGCAATCCCTTCTCCTCCATTCTCCTCTCCGCATCTTGAGCACATACACACATGTACCTGGTGTGAGTTTAAGCCACCAGGTCTAGGACTTGAACTGTGATCGACTACATGGGAGCCCAGTGATATAGCCATTATGCCAACTGCTGGTCCTGCTATCTACTATATAATTTAGGAAATATAATCAAATTTCTATTTTTTTCCTGCAAAACTCCCTGAGTCAAAACATTTTCACCGATAATGAAAACAAAAACAAAGGAGAATATGAAGCGTATATTGTGGAATCACCAGCAGATTCGTATAATCTTTGTCAACCCAAATATGCTCTTTATGCTAAGTATTACCTTAAGGACTATAAAGCAGATTATTTTCAGACCATTTCTCAAACTGTTTATGCTTGGCCTTCTCATTTTATATAGAGTTACTTCTATCTCTCACTGAAATAAATATATATGATTTTCAGACCAGCCTCCAACAGTCCCCACCTCAGAGTTTATCTGTTGCACTTTTCAAAGTTTTGGGAACTTTTGATTCATCTTAGTCAGTATTCACTGAGATGATTTCTTCTCAGCTAGTGTACGTTAGAAAAGAGAACACGGCATGCCCAGACAGGCGTTCTGAAGAGGCATCATACCATGGGGGAGGGAGAAGAGGGAGAAGACTTTGAAATTCAGAAATATCTGAGTTTCTAATAGGATCATAGGAAAACTTTTTTAGCACTGTGAGCTTCAACTTTCTCATCTATACAATATAGGTTAGATTACCTTCCTCATACACTTGGTGCAATCATACACACACACACACACACACACACACACACACACACACACATACATATGTAAGGTTTTTGCCTTGGGCACGGGTGTGTGCCAGAGAGAAAGAGAAGAGATACAGAGAGAGAGAAAGTGAGTAATCACCCCCCAAGGGGGTTGGGTGCTCCACAATCCCTTCTTCATTCTCATCCTGGGATCTTGGGCATGCATGCACACGTGCCCTGCATGAGTTTCAAACCGGGAGGTCTGGGACTTGTACCACAGTAGACCCTGTGGGAGCCCAGCAACGTAACCTCTGCACCATCTTCTGGTCCCAGTAATCTTATATATTAACACACACACACACACACACACACACACACACACACACACACATACACTGATCAGTTAATTTAGTAGTATGGTAGTAATTCAATAAATGGCAATTATTTTGAAGAATCAACCATTTTCTAAATTCTTCTTCCCTTTCATTGGGTGTGATTTCTAAAGAATTTATATTTTTCTAGTATCTAACAATATTTGTGTTGCTAAGCTTTGCTAGATCCAGATTTTTTTCTGCTTCCTCATTTTTAGACAAAGTATAATTTTTATCTTTGAGAATACCGAAAATAGTTAATCTTATATTATTTTATAAACATTTTCAGGATGTGTAAGGAAAAGTGCTATTCTATTGAAGCCCTGTCATTATGAACACTTGACTTTTTCACCACACATCCTCAAATTTCGTTGCTATCCCTTTCTAGTATCCCCTCAAGAACAAAACAGTATTTTAATACCCATAAACGATTATATGGAGAGAATGTCTGCTATGGAACCCAAGAATCTTTGGTTATATTGCACACTTCAGTTTAGAAAGTTTGCTTATATGGGACCAACAATTAGCATAATGGCTATGTTGCTGGACTGCCATGTAGTCAACTGCAGTTCGAGTCCCAGACCTGGTGGCTTAAACTCATGCCAGGTGCGTGTGCGTGTGTGCCCAAAATTCTGAGAGGAGAATGGAGGAGAAGGGATTGCAGTGTGGCCATCTCCCCTGGGGGGTGATTTCTTGCTTTCTGTCTCTCTGTCTCTCTCTGTCTTTCTGCTGAGCGCATGTGCCCTATAGCAAAAACCTCTCCCCCCCAAAAAAAGAAAAAGAAAAAAAGAAAGAACGTTTGCTCATATAGTAACTCTTAACAGTGTTCAGCACAGTGAGATCAGAGACAGCAACAGAGAGTTGTTTCCACGACATCAAACATAGGCCTGAAGCTGTGCAGACTCTCAAAATATGTGTTGACTCAAGGAAGGATTGTGTCCTGCAAAACAGTAGCAGTTCCTTTCATCTTTATAATAGTTTGGAGACAGTCGTGTTCTGTTGCATGGGAAAATAGAATTAAATAAAAATGTAAACCAGAATGTTTTACTGTAAGATTTCTGAGCTTTTAATATTCTGATATGCACTATGAACTTCTACGATGGAAATATGTTTTGCAGAAGCTCCCAAACTCATTTGTCACAGAACTCCATCCATTTTTTTGAAAATCTAGTTAACATCTAGCAAGATTCTTGTTTCCTGCAGAATCAGTTTGGTCCCATACAAAGACCAGAACTATCTTCCGCACTGATTTCATAGTTCAGACTCCATAGAAAGTGAGCCAGCCCATGGCTTGATGGTTAAGGTGACTGGATCCCACATAACTGTTTGTGCAGTTTGAGTCTAGAAGCTAGAAGAGTAGCAGCTTAAAAAACACGAGGCATGCGTGCACGTGTTGCGTGCATGTGTGTGTTTGCGTGCGCCCAAAATCACCGAAGGAGACAGCCATGGAGGAAAAAGAACCATAGCTTGACCATGCCCAGTGGGGTGTAGCTTTCCCTCTCTTTATCTCTGTGTGTCCATCTCGCTCTGGGGAACGCATGTGCATTCTGGCAAATATGTTTAAAGATTATTCTTTTTCTGTAGATATAGATTATTTGTGGATTTTGATTTCTTTTTCACAGATTATTTTCCCATAAAGACGATAATAAGTTGCCATCGTTACTCATACTATGCAAATGACTTGCATTGACATTTCTTTCAGGCGAGCTACCAGAGACAATACAAATGTGAGACTCTATCTCAGAGTGCAACCCAGGTGTTGGTAGGTGCGGCAGGAAGCTTTGGTGAAAAGAAGGGAGAGTAAGTACTTGGTTCAAAGAGACCGTCTGTCCTAAGTCGCTGCATTTAGGAAATCGTGCAAGTGGGTTTTCTTGCTTTGGTCTGTAACTTGGGTTCATCTAGGATGGCGTGTACAAGCCACTGTCTGATCTGTACCCCACACTGAGGTCAGATCACCTGCTTTCAGCTGCCTATACTCATTCACATCTTTGAGCATTTGAATAAGCTGCTCTTTCTGACCAAAAACACTCTTCTTCTCCCTTTCTGCCCCCTACAGCTGAACTGTGTTAAACTAGTCTTCCTTTTAGACTATTTGAATACCTGACAGAGGGCAAAAGTCTTTCCTAATCCCTCCAAGCTTATTTTCCCAAGGCACAGACAACACTTCATGCATCTTAATACCCAGCATGCACTTACACCCAGTCTCACAGTGAGACTGACTATACACTAAAAAGGATTATCACTGTATTATTCAAGAAAACATTTTTTAAAATGGGGAAAAAAGAAAGTACAGAGCGATTTGACCCACTGTCTTGATCTTTCTCTTTAAATCCTCTGTAAAGGCTGAAGCAACATGTATCTATGAAAATCCGGTGCAACTGGACACAAAAAAGAGGTCAACAAAATAGGGCAGGGGGCACAGGGTTAAAAGGACTCATAGTGGACAGGCGGGCAAATTTTGGAATATATTATATTTATATTCATTTATGCAAGACATATATATTAAATGCCTGTATGTGCCAAGCCACACACCAGGCACTGTGGAGAATATCAAGATTACCAAAATGGTATTCCAATCCCTAGAGGACTTTCTATCGATTACTCTTACGTTCAATACGTGTTTCTCTGCTGGGCCGCCTTGGAGTTGATCACTTCTATCAGTGGCCCATGTGTTGCATTGTCCTGTGGCAAGTGAATCTAAAGAGAGAGAGAGCGGAAGGTTTAAACCAGGGCATTAGGACCCATGAGAGTGCCCATGTAATTGCCTTAGAGATAATACTTGGAACGCCTACTTTATTTTTGTTAAGTGTGATGCCAGGCACTGTTTAAAATACTTTTTATATGTTAACCTTATTTTTATCTCCTGAAAAATCCCGTGAGATAATTAGTACCTTTCTGATGCAGGTGAGGAAAGTGAAGTGGAGAAAGATGGATTAATTCTATTTGACCCATAAGTTACAGAGTTGGGATTCAACACCAAGTTGCCTCATTGTCCAGTCAAAAGGTCATACTATTTCCTTAAGTCCAGTCTAAGCCGTGAACATGTTCATGTAAAATAGGAATTCAAGAGCTTGTATCTTTGGGACCAGCAGTTGGTATAATGACTGTGTCACTGAACTCCCATGTAGTCAACCGCAGTTCGAGTCCCAGATCCGGTGGCTTAAACTTGTGCCGGGCACATGCATGTGCGTGCCCAAGATCCCAAGAGGAGAATGGAGGAGAAGGGATTGCAGCGTGACCATCCCCCTGGGGGGTGATTTCTCACTTTCTATTTCTCTATATCTGTCTTTCTGGCGAGCGCACGCGCCCTATAGCAAAAACCTCTCCAAAAAAAAAAAAAAAAAAAAAGGGCTTGTATCCTTTCATAATTTGTAACGAAAAATATGGTGCATTTATTGACATCACAGAATTTTAGGAGTCACAGAGACCTGTGGAATTTTCTGATCTTAGCTTAGACACTAGTTTCTTCAGGAAGGTTTTATGATTCCCCAAGGCTATATTAAAAGGCCTCTGCTGTGGGTCTGGAGTGCTGTCTTATTTCTGTCTCCGTGGCAACACGTACTGCACTTCGCTGCAGTCATTATTTGCCTGTTTTACTCCCTGCTTTACCTTCTGTTTCTTGAAGCCTGGAGAGCAGAGACTAGTATTTCTTTGTGCTTATTCCCACCATTTAGCAAGCATAAACACTTTTAAAATTATGAATTCATCGACTTATATATCACTTGAGCTTTTCCATAGAATTACCGCATGATTATATTGAATTATAGGGAATTAAATGACTTCATTCTTTTCAAGGACAGTAGTATCCTGTGAAAGAGAAATTACACAAATTTCAGAGCGAGAACATTATAATCAATAGGGGACCCGAGGCCCACCTTTGAGCTTAGGGTTCGAGTGCTTTCTATTAAGCCATGTGATAATGTGGGGTCTCAGACCCAAGGACTGAGCCCTGTTTTCCTAATAAGGACAATGAAAGTATCTAGTGAGCAGCAGGTGAATTCCTTATAACACCAAGGGTACTGAGTAAGGTCAAATCACAGCACGTAGAAGCCAACAGAGACCTACAGACAACTTGGGACGAGTGTTACCAAAATGTCTTTGGGATTTTTACAGCCATTGACTTCTCCTAGTTACCATTTTAACACAGTTGTGATCATTTTAACCAGACTACTGGCCCTGAAGGTGGAAGAAAAAGATAGGTAAATAGATAGACTGGATATTTTATATATATTTTAATAATCTCAGCCTGGCATAGATATTTCTGCCCCCATTTTACAGGTGGGCAGACAAGGTAGTGAGGCAATTCGTTAATTTGCCACATGAGACAATGGGGAATACAATATGAAAACCCAGATGTAGCAAAATCTCAAATATTTGAATCATGGTTTTCATTCCCTGCCCAACTGGGAACGTTCTACTGTTTTAAACGGTGTCTGACTGAATTCCTAAACTCATCTCATGAGCGAGTCCTATGGCCTGACTCCATCTTTGTGCATCTACTTGCGTGTACAACTTCATGACTTAAAACCGTACCCGGGAAGGTATCTTATTCTCAAGTCTTCACTGCACAAAATGGTCTTCCTGGTCTCTGATCATACTGCATTAAACTTATCCCCACATATTTACAGTATGTTTTTCTTTTTTAAAAAGGCATTTGAGTCCTGAGTCAATAGAAGATTATTCTGAAAATAGAAAATTGTTTACCTTTATCAGAAAGCTACTGCTCAACTGGGTGTACAGTACTAATAAAGATAAAGGAGTCCCATCGAGGTGAGAGCTTTGGAACCTTATGAGAAACACTATTATTATTTGAAAATTTTTCTTCATTCATTTCAAAATTATATCCTGGGACCAGCAGATGGTGTAATGGTTACATCACTGGACTCTCACGTAGTTGACCATGGTTCGAGTCCCAGACCTGGAGGATTAAACTCACGCCCGGTACATGTATGTGCGTGCATAAGATGGGATCTTGTGCACTTGGGAGTGGAGAATGGAGATTGGAGGGGAGAAGGGATTGCAGCATGACCATCCCCTCTGGGGAATGATTTCTCTCTTTTTGTCTCTCTGTCTCTCTTTGTCTCTCTGGTGAGCACATGCACCCTATTGCAAAAGTCTCTCTTTAAAAAAAAAAAGAAAAAGAAAATTATATCCTAAATACTTTGCAAAATTTTTTTTCACATGATTAACTAAATTGTTTTTATACATACAATAAGTTACCTTAAGAGAAAATAAATAGAAATAAGGAGCCAGTAGGTTGTGTGGTGGTTAGGGTGCTGGACCCCCACGTGGTTGATTGCAGTTTAATTCCTAGACCTGGCAGCTTGCTTTCTCATTTTCCCTCTCTCTGTCTGTCTGTCTCGCTCTCTTTCTCTTTCTCTCTCTAGTAAGTGTACATGCCCTATAGCAAATTAAAAACATAATAATAATAATAAATAAAATTTTTAAAACATACAAAAAGAAATAGGAATGCTATTCTCTTTTCTAAATTAAGGCAGCTTTCACATAACATAAAATTATTAGCCATTTTAAGGTGTGCAATTCAGAATTATTTAGTACATTTGCAGTGTTGGGCAACCATCAGCTCCATCAAATTCTGTTACCTTTTCATTGACCCCTAGAGTAAACAAGTATTCACTGAGCAGTCACATTTCATTTCTCCTTCCTCTCAGCTCCTTAAAAGCATTAGTCTGCTTTCTGTCTCTGAATATTTCAGATAAATGGAATCATCGAAATGTAGCCTTGTATTTCTGCCTTCTCTCACTTGATGTTTTCATCTACATTGTGTAAGTTTCATCCACTTTCCAGCATGCGATAGTTTATTTCTGTATGGCCGAGTAATATTTTATTTATCCATTAATCAGTTGCCAGACATTTGGATTCTTCCCACTTTTGGCTATTATGTATACCATTACTATGGAAATTCATGTACAACTCTTTGTTTGAATACCTGCTTTCACTTCTTTTAGATATACATCCAAGAGTAAAATTGCTGGCTCGGGGCCAGCAGGTGGCGTGGTGGTTAAGGATTGAAGTCCCACATGGGTGACCACAGTTTAAGTCCCAGACCTAGCAGCTTGCTTTCTCACTCTCTTTTTTCTCTCTCTCTCTCTCTTTCCTTCTCTGGTCTAATGAAAAATAAATAAATAAAGTTAAATAAAATAATTCTTATTTTAAAAAAATTGCTGGCTCATATGATAGTTCTATATATAGTGTCTACAGGAACCACCAAATTGTTTTTCACAACTGCTAGACAATTTTGATATCGGGGCCTGTGATATCCTTCAACTTTATTTTCCTTTTCCAAAATTGTTCTAGCTATATAAAATCCTGTACTATACTGTATTAATTTTAGGATGATCTTGTTTATTTATGCAAAAAAGATCACCGAGATGAATGATTCTGCAGATTGATTTTGCAGATTAATTCTGCAGATTGCTTTGGATAATACTATCATTTAGTAATATTAAGACTTCTGATCCATGAACATGAAATGTCTTTCCATTTATTTAGATGTTTAATTTCTTTCAGTAATGTTTTGTAGTTTTCAGCAAACAAAGCTTTGATTAAATTTAATCCTAATTAGTTTGTCCTTTTTAATGATGTTTTAAATAGAATTTTATTCTTAATTTCATTTTTGGATCATTCATACCTAACATATAAAAATAAAACTTTCTGGTTAATTAACACATAATACTTGTACATGTTTGTGGGGTACCGTGTGATTTTTTTCATTGCATTAATACAATGTTAATGATCAAGTCAAGGTAATTGGCATATCCATCATCCCAGATATTTAATTACTTTGTGTTGGGAACATTCAAAATTCTCTACTCTAGACATCTTTTTAAAATTTGAATTTTAAATTGACATATAATAGTTATATGTATTTATGGAGTACAGTTTTTTTATCTGTTTTGCAAGAGGACATGTGCGCTTGCCAGAGAGAGAGAAAGAGAAAGTGAGAAAGCACCCCCATGGGGGATGGCTATGCATCAATCTCTTCTCCTCCATTTTCTTTTTCTTTTGGAATTTTCGGCATGCGTGCACATGTGCCTGGCATGTTTTTCAAGCCTCCAGGTTGAAGAATCAAGGTCTGCAGTCAGCCATCTGGGATTCAGTCACCTTAGCCACTACACCACCAGCTGGCCCAATGTGATTTTTTAATTACATGAATATGGTTTGTAACAATCAAAATAAGGCAATAAACATATCCACCACCTCAACATTTATCATTCCCAATTGTCTCCTTGATCTATAAGTATATATTAAAGTGCCCCAACTGTACTCTATTGTGCTATATAATATGCTAGAACACGTTTTACTGTTTACTTCCAGTTTTTCAAAATAATTATTTAACTTTATTTATTATGATTATGATTATTTTAATTTGCTCATCAGAGAGAGAGTGACTGTGAGAAAACAAGCCACCAAGACTGGGATTGAAACTGCAGTCGGCCATGTGGGAGTTGAGCATCTCAACCACCACACCATCGACTGGCCTCCTCTACTTCCAATTTTGTGTCTGTTAACCAAGTTTTCCCTCTACCCCTATACTCTTTTCTCCCATAACTACTATTCCATTCTACTTCTGTGTAATCAAATCTTTTCACTTCTACTAATGAATGACAATATGCAATACTTATCCATCACTGCCTATTTTATTTCATTTAGCATAATTTTTATCCATGTTGCCACGGATGACATGATTTATCCTTTTTCATGACTGAATAATATTCCAGTATGTGTATGTACTACCTTGTCTTTATCTGTCATCAATTGATGGACATTTAAATCAAATCCAAAGCTTGGCTATTGTATAATAAATAGTGCTGCAATAAACAGGGATGTAGATCTCTCTTCTATGTACTGATTTTTCTTTCTTTTGGATATAAACCCAGTTGTAGGATTCCTGGATCATAAGGTAGTTCTAATTTTAGTTTTTCAAAGAACCACTCTACTGTTTTCTGTGATGGCTGCACTAATTTACATTCCCACCAGCAGTGCAGAAGAGTTTCCTGTCTTCGTATCCCCACCAGCATTTGTCTGTCTTTCTCTTCTTAGTTCCTTCTTTTCTTTCTCTTTTTTTTTCTTATTTTTTCTCTTTCTTTCTTTCTTCTTTCTTTCTTCCTTTCTTAATAATAGCCATTCTATAACTGGAGGATGTTATTCCTCATTGTGTTTTTGATTTTTTACTTCTTTGTAACATGTAACAATTATGTTGAGCATTTTTCTCCATGTACTTGGCTATTTGTACATCTTCTTTTGAAAATTGTTCAGATAAGGTATCCATTTTTTAAAAGAATTTGTTTATTTTATTATTATTATTATTATTATTATTATTATTAAACTTTGTTATAGGCCATGTGCACTCACCAAAGAGAGAGGAAGTGACAAAGCAAGCCACAAGGTCTGGGATTCAAACTACAGTCAGCCATGTGAGTGTCCAGTGCCTCAACCACCATGCCACATGCTGACTTCCAAATGTCCATTTTTTAATTAGATTATTTGCTTTTTCGGTGTTGTTTGAGTTTCTTATATATTCTGGTCATGGATCCCTTGTTATATATATAGATTGCAAATATTTTTTCCTCTTCTGTAGGTTGTCACTTCACCTATTGTTGTTTCCTTCATCGTACAAAGCTTTTTAGTTTGATAAAATCCCATTTGTCGATTTTTGCTTTTGTTGCCCAAGATTTTTAGGTCTTACTTTAAAAATCTTTGCCCAGTCCAATGTCCTAAAGCATTTCTCCTATGTTTTCTTCTAGTAATTTCATAGTTTCAGGTCTTATTTCAGTCTTTAGTCCACTTTTAGCTAATTTTGGTATATGATGAGATATAGGGGTCTACTTTTTTTCTTCTTCATATGGGTGGCCAATTTTCCCAGCATGGTTTATTGAAAAACTGTCTTTTTCTCTGTAAGTCTTCTTGAAATCTTTGTCAAAAATCAGTTGACTGTATATACTTGAACATATTTCTGCATTTTCTGTTCTGTGATTTGTCTGTGTTTGTACCAATACTATGCTGTTTTGGTTACTATAGCTTTGCAGTAGTTGGAGACATCATGCCACCTGATATACTACAACTGATTTTTAGGTACCAATATACCAATTTTTCTATCCTGAAACTTCACTAATTTTATTAGTACTATGTCATCTACAAATAGAGATCATTTTACTTCTGCCTTTTCAACTTGGATGACTTTTCTTAGATTCAAGAGGAAGGACTATAGATACCTCTTCTTAATAGAAGTATCAAAATATTTGTGGTTATCTTTTATTTTTATTTATTTTTTTTGCCAAAGAGTGCATGAGACCGACATAAAAATGATGAGAAATCATCAGTCAGGGAGGATGGCCACACTCTAATCCCTTCTCCATTCTCTTCTTGGTATTTTGGGCACACACACAAATGTCTGCTGTGTTTTGCATGCTGAGGACTGAGGACTGAGTCAAATCAGAGGCAAATCACTTGGTTCAGAATCTTAGGCACCATCATTTATTAACTAAATTATACTTTCAGGCCTCAGTTCCTTCATTTGAAAATGGGTATTGTGATAGCTATTATACATCATATTTTGGGACTAATTGATATATATGTAAAGCATGTGGCAGAGTAACTAACACATGGTAGTCACTAAAACATGCTAACAAGGTTTTTATCTGCCTACCTCATGGGACTGTTGTAAAGATTACATAAATGGGCTATATAGAGACACACTTTGGAACTAGTTCTGGATAGGCGCTTAACACAATGTTGGTGTTTACTAC